GAGTGTTCCTATCTCTCTGCATCCACGCCAACATTTACTGTTCTGGGACTTTCTGATAAAGGCCAGTGTCACTGGAGATAAGTGATATCTCATTGTTGTTTTGATTTGCATTTCTGAACACGGGTTTTAATTCCCCTCGGTTAAATACCCAGGAGCGTGATCGCTGGGTCTTGTGCTAAGTGCATGTTTAACCCTATAAAAAACTGCCCACCCATTTCCAGAGTGGTCGCACCATTTTGCATAACCGCCAGCCATACGCGACAGTTCCAGCTGCTCCAGGTCCTCATCAACATTTGGTAATGTCCGTTTTTAAAAGTCATCCTTGGCGGGGAGTCTTTAAAGGCTGACCGGGGTCACATTGTACAAGATGACTGCCTGGATTTGGGTAGAGGGTGGGTTGACGACGCTGCAACACAGAACCAGTTCAGTCTGGTTCAACTCAGGTTCAGCTTTGTTTGTCACGGAATGTAATGAAATGATGGGTTGTTTTTCAGTGCAACAGACCCCCGGGCTGCAGATCATGTAACCTGAGCACACCTGGGTGGACCAAGCGTGCCCGATTCATGACCCCAGCACCAGCCCGAAGGAAAAAAATCAACCACAGGTGAGAACGACGTGCTCAGATTGAGGAGCGGGGACTGAATTACGAAGCTGTGGGCGCCCTGTTTTGTTGCAGTAGGGACTTCAGATCCAAGGACTCATCAGCCCGTTTTTGCGGGATCCAATCAGATCACTGCTCCCTCCCTCAGTGGCAAGGCCGAGGCAGGGAAGTCTTCTGGGAGGGATTGCAATGGTCCAGGCCTTGGAGGGTGGGGAGGAGAGAACGGGAAGACCCGAGAGCGGTTCAGGGGGTTTGGGGTATGGGGCTGCAGAAGGCTGAGCAGGAGAGGAAGGTGGAAAGACAGGGGACACCCAGAGTGAGAAGGGTGTGAAGGGCCGGCCAGGCTAAGAACTTTAGACCCCAGATTATCTGCCCAAGAGGATCCTGGGTCTTAGCAAGGTTGGGAGCAGCTACATTGTATCTCCCCCTTGAGGACGCACAGTGCGCATTAGAATATCAAAGGCTCTGGCCAGACACGGTGGCTCACACCCGTAATCCCAGCACCTGGGCAACATAGTGAGACCCTGTCTCTACCAAAAAAAAAAAAAAAATTACCTGCTGGGCATGGTGGCATGCACCTGTAGCCCTAATTACGTGGGAGGCTGAGGCAGGAGGATCACTTGAGCTCAGGCGTTCAGGGCTGCAGTGAGCTGTGACCGTGCCACTGCACTCCAGCCTGGGCAACAGAGAGAAACCCTGTCTCTTAAAAAAAAAAAAAAAAAAAAAGAACATTAAAGGCTCTGACAATTCCTGCAATAAAGAACTCTATCTGGTTTTATTTAACCAGTTTCTCAAACTTAGACTTTGGATCACTTTTCTCAAGTCATAACATAACACTTATAATAATAGTGATAAAAACTCCAATGGACATCTCAGAACTGCATTTAGCTTGGTCACTGTTAGCTCCCAGTGTCTAGAATTGGCTTATAGCCAATGGTCAAATATTTTTGTATCTCATTAGATCCTCGGAAAGACCCTATGAGGTAAGTAGTCATGTAATTTCTATCTCACAAATGAGGCTCAGAGAAGTCAAGCAGCTTGCCCAAGGCCACACAGCTAAGTGGGCAGGGAGCTGGAATTTGAGCTGGTGGGTACCCACAGCCTTTTCGACACCCTGCCTGTCTCCTAAAGGTGCCCCATACCCCCAGCCTCACCTGATGGTGGCGGATGTGAGCTCCCCACTGAGGGCTGCTCCGTGACCTCCTTGCCTGTAGACACATTCAGGCTGTTGCCCAGAGAGCACGGCTGTAACTTGAGTCTCAATCAGGCTGGGAGTGACGGGGCGGGTGGGCAGGTGACAGCCAGGGCAGGGAGATTTGCCCACACACTGGTACGCAGCAGCCTGGCAAGCCACACGTGTGGCCCCAAGGAGACGAGGGGCTTCAGAGATCCATCCCGGAGTCCGGGCTGTGTCCCCACCATGGGCAGCAAGCAGACTGTCTTCACTCATGAGCAGCTGGAAGCGTATCAGGTAGGGCGGACAGGAGGGGCCCTGGGTAGGTTTGACAGCTTTGGTTCCTGGGTCTGAGAAGTGGGAACAGCATCCCTTTATCTGGGTGCGGCGTCTGCCAGGGTTCCTGGTGTGGCTCTGTGTGCGGCGGCATCAGGACATCTGTGCGGGTGTGGGGTGGAGGGAGGGAGTGGGGCACAGAGGCCCCAGAGGCAGGGTCTGGGTAAAGCCATCGTCTCTCTCCGCAGGACTGCACGTTCTTCACAAGGAAGGAGATCATGAGGTCAGTCCCGGGAGGTGGGAGGAGAAGGCCTGGAAACGACTTTCTATTCATTGCCGGAAGATATTTGCAATTTGATGGGACTTAAAAATGCTAAGGGTGGGAGAGGGGGGGCATTGCAGGCATGCATATTGTCACGGTCTCTAGGCTGATGAGCTTGGCTTTTCTCCAAGGGTGGCAGGGAGCCATGGAGGGTGTGTGAGCAGGGGAGAGACCAGCTCACGTTAGAAAGATCACCCCGAGGCCCGTGTGCAGAGGCTGGGACTGGAGGCTGGGAGTCCAAGTGCAGAGTTCAGAGCCAGCTCTGGGGTGTGGGGTTGAAACCCAGGAGAGGGTGTAGGGCAGGCAGGTCCCTGGCATGAGCCCAGCAAAATGGGCACAGATGAGTATCCCACGTCATCCCTCAGCCTGTGGGTCCATTGTCCAGAGGCCCCAATCCATGAACTTGGAGCTGGGAAACCCAAGCTGGCTGGGGTTCCGCTGCAGAGTGATCGGGGCCAAGGCCCCAGTTGTGTGGTCACGAGACATCCATTATTGATGGGCACACCTTTCACCAGTGAGCCCCATTGTCTGGGTGCAGACAGCTTGCAGGGTCACCTCGGCCATCATGATCAGATTACCGATGGGGAAACTGAGGCTCAGACAAGGGCTGGGCTGACCCCAAGCCCGCGGGCAGGTGTGCAAAGCCTCGAGGAGTTTGAAGGCTGACATTTCGTCTGTCCTAAGCTTCTTGCTTGTCGGATAGAATAACCAAGGCTCAGAGAGGGAGAGGTACTTGCTCAAGACCACACAGAAACCTAGACCCAGGGTGCTCGCTGAGGGGACCCAGATAGGGAACCGAGTGGTCAGTACTGAAGTTCTAGATCCACCCCCCACACCATCTAGTTCCTAGTCATCATATGACCCACGGACTCCTGTCTCCCTCAGAGACAGTCCTTAGTAGCATGGAGACCTCACCAAGAATGGTCTCCACAAGGCTGCTACTCAGCATGCCCCAGTGAAGGTACAGCATCACCAGGTGAGGGCATCTAAGCAGAGAACTGGCCTTATAATCTAGGTACTGTGTGTGGAATTCAGTGCTTTACACAATGTCTTTCATTTGTCCTTTCAAAAAACCCTGAATATTAGCTGTTTGTCTCTGCTCTGTCCCCACTGAAGAACCCCGCCTTCCTTTATAAAGGGAGGAAAGGAAGGTTAGAGAATGGAGGGATCTTTAGAGCCAGGGTCTTGTCGAGAACGTGATGATGTCCAGATATTGATGGGTTATCTAGGATTCTCTGAATGCTTGCTGTGAAATGATCTGGCCATAAGCAGCCTCCCTTCTCCCAGCTCTATCTGCCTGGTAAGCTCCTACTCATACTCCAAAGCCCAGCATCAATGCTCCCTCCTCCAGGAAGCTCTTCCTCCTCCCTAGCTTGCTTTCCCCAGTTAGTCTCCCCTCACCTTGGGGCCCTCTTTCAACCCTGGCCCTGTCCCCAGTGGGGTAAGGTGCCTGTGTCTGGCCCAGGGCTGATGGCCCTTGGGGATCTAGCACCCTTCGGTGTGGATTGAGCAGCTGTGAATGTGAGAGAGAAGGGACAAGTCTCTTGCCCCCTCCCTGCTCCCAGCCATCCCCAGCTTTTCCCTCCCCACATCAGGCTCTTCTATCGCTACCAGGACCTGGCCCCTCAGCTCGTCCCACTGGACTATACCAGCTGCCCCGATGTGAAGGTGCCCTACGAGCTCATTGGCAGCATGCCTGAGCTGAAGGTATGCCCGGGGCATGGGGCAGGCAGGGAAAAAATGGTAGAGATGTCACCTCCTTGCATTCTTATGAGGTGGGTGCTTCAATTTTCCCTATTTTACAGATAAGAAAACTGAGGCTCAGAGAGGTTAAGAAACTTGTTTGTGGTCACACAGGTACAATGTGACTGAGACAGGATTAAAACTCAGATTTTTTGGCAGGCTGCAATGAGATGATGCAGGCAATGGGTTCAGGACAGGGTGTGTTGCATGCCAAGTACTCAGGCAACATTAGCTTTTTTTTTTTTTTTCATAATAGAAGCTGCTAAATGCAGATTCTTCTAAGCCAGATGTTTGATGCATGGTTTGTGCCTCTGAATGGAACTTGTGGGGGGGGGGAGGTGAGTGACTGACTGTGAGTAGGGATTATTTTATCACAAATGACAGAAACCTTATTTAAGAGGGACAGAAGGGATTGGATCACCTGAACAAAAAGTCCAGGGGCAGGAGCTAGCGTCAGGTGCAGCTGGAACGAGGACCTTTGGTGACGTGCTCAGGAATCTCTCTTCACCTCTCAGCTCCTCCCAGGAAGAGGTTTCAGTGTCAGGCAGCCTCTCCTCTGGAGGCTGTGAAGGAACCTTCAGCCGCCTAGCTTTAGCTTCTGTCAGCCCTGCAACCAGCAGAAAGCAGGTCCCTCCCTCCCAGTTTTTCAGAAAACATCCCAGGGCAGCCTCTGATTGGCCAGTTTGAGTCACATGCTCATGCCAGAGCCAGTCACACTTGCCAGGTGAATGGAAATCTCTGATTGGCTTCACCTGGGTCACATGGCTGCTCCTGGAGCTGGAAGTAAGGTCAGCATCACTCAGACCACAGCCGTTGGAGGGTGGAGCTGCCCAAAGTCCTGTTTAGGGTCCATGGGAGGGAGATAGTCTTGCTGGAGGATATTTGGACCTTCCCAGGAAGGTAGGTGCTGAGAGTGAGACCACATGGGCCCCCAGAGACCCTGGTCAGAGGGTGGCTTCCCTATTTCTTTTTTGTCACCAGGACAACCCCTTCCGCCAGAGGATCGCCCAGGTCTTCTCGGACGACGGAGACGGCCACATGACTCTGGACAACTTCCTAGACATGTTTTCTGTGATGAGTGAGATGGCTCCCCGTGACCTCAAAGCCTATTACGCTTTTAAAATTTATGGTGTGTGCACAACCCCGGGGTGGAGTGGGGCGTGAGAAGCGGGTGGAACTCCCACCACAAATTCTCCCCAAGGGCTTTGAGGCCCGAGTAACCCTGTCCTCCACCCCACCCTTGTATCTCCCCTCCTTGTCCTCTAGCTCACTCCATTCCAGCCACACTAGCCTTGCTGTTCACTGAACACACCAAACTCTTTCTGCCTCCAGGCCTTTGCCTATGCTATACTCTCTGCATGGAGCACCTTGCCTTGGCTCCTTCTTATCCTTGAAGTCACGGCTGAAAGTAAGACCTGCTCCCAGTCACTCCCCGTCCCATCATCCTATTTCTCTCCTAGGACTGGCCAATGCTGCTTAATTTCTTATTCATTGCCCTGTTCACTTCTCATTGAGTTTCCCTCTGAGGAGACCCACAGGTAGCAACAGTATCTGTTTTGTTCACCATCTGTCTCCTGTGCCTGACACATAGTAGGTGCTCAGTTAATATTTGTTGAATGAATAAATGAAAGAAAAGCAGTTATCTCAGTGCCTGGCACCTACTAGGCACTCAAGAAATACTTGTTCAGTGAGTGACTGAATGAAAATCAGTTATCCTGATGTCTGACACATAGTAGGTGATCAATAAATACTTGTTGAATAAATGAATGAATGAAAAATTATCACAGTGCTTGGCACACAGTAGGCACTCAATAACTCTTTTTTGAGTGAGTAAATGAAAATAGTTATCACAGTGGCACCTAGTAGGCACTCAAAAAATACTTGTTGAATGAGTGAATGAATGAATTATAATCAGTTATCATGGTGCCTGACACCTTGTAGGTGCTCAATAAATACTTGTTGAATGAATGAGCAAAGGAAAAAGTTATCATAGTGCTTAGCACACAGTAGGCACTCAATAAAATACTTTTTGTGTGAATAAATGAAAAATAGTTATCACAGTGTCTGGCATCTAGTAGACATGCAAAAATACTTGTTGAGTGAGTGAATGAATGAAAATCAGTTATCATGGGGCCCAAAACACATAGTAGGTGCTCAATAAATATTTTGTTGTTTGAATAAATGAAGGAACCCCCAGCAGGTCCCTGCCCAATTCCAAGGCAAGACTCAGATTTTACCCCAGGGTCTTGGGTGCCCTCCCAGTGCCTCAGTTTCCTCCTCTGAAACATGGGGGCAAGATGTGTCCACGGACAGCCCAGCTTGCCTGCCACCTGCTGTCTCTGCCCACCCATCCTGCTCCACAGACTTTAACAACGACGACTACATCTGCGCCTGGGACCTGGAGCAGACGGTGACCAAGCTGACGCGGGGGGAGCTGAGCGCCGAGGAGGTGACCCTGGTGTGCGAAAAGGTGCTGGACGAGGCTGATGGGGACCAGGACGGGCGGCTGTCCTTGGAAGACTTCCAGAACATGATCTTACGGGCACCCGACTTCCTCAGGTGACGTTTCCCACCACCCGGCACATCTGAAAGGGGCTCTTGCAGAGACAGTTCGCAGACTCCGCTCGTGAAAATTCCTCTGTTCATTCATTCATCTGTGACCTTGGGGAACTGGCTCAGTTTCCCTGGTTTCAGTCCCTGACTGTAAAGTGTGGAAAATTAGGGACCCTGTGGACACCTCTTGGGGGTGAGGTTGCAGCTCTTTTGGCAAACAGAGCCCGGCTAGACTCTAGCCCTCAATGCCGGAACAATTTTTTTTTGCAGTGAACAGACCATGCAACTGTCCTTGGCAGCCTTGCGGGAAGAAAATCAGAGCCCCCACTGCAGGGCTGTTATCGAAGTTTAAATGCATTAATACAGGGGTTGGCAGAGCACAGCCCGGGGGCCACATCTGAGACCCGAAGCCTGGTTTTGTACCTCTTGTGAGCTAAGAATGGTTTTTACATTTTCAAATGGTTGAAAAAAAATCAGAAAGTAATAATATTCCATGACACATGAAAATGATACAAAATTTAGATTTCTTTTCTTTTTTTTTTTTTTGAGACAGAGTCTGGCTCTGTTGCCCTGGCCAGAGTGCAGTGGCATGATCAGAGCTCACAGCAACCTCAAATTCCTGGGCTCAAGTGATCCTCCTGCCTCAGTCTCCCGAGTAGCTGGGACTATAGGCATGCGCCACCATGCCCGGCTAATTTTTTCTATATATATATTTTTAGTTGTCCAGATAATTTCTTTCTATTTTTTTAGTAGAGACGGGGTCTTGCTCTTGCTCAGGTTGGTCTTGAACTCTTAACCTTGAGCGAACCACCCGCCTCGGCCTCCCAGAGTGCTAAGATTACAGGCGTGAGCCACAGTGCCCGGCCCGAAATTTAAATTTCTGTGTCTATAAATAAAGTATTATTGGCACATGGCCACACCTATTTATGCACGTAATTGTCTATGGCTGCTTCTGTGCTGAGACAGCAGAGTTGGGTCACGGTGCACAGTTGAAAATATTAACTATTTGCCCCTTTATAGAAAAAAGTTTGTCGACCTCTGAGTTAATATATGGAGAGAATTTAGGGCAGCATCTGGCACACAGTAGGTTTTAATAAGCGTGTGCTATCGTTATTGCTGCTGTTACTTCTTTTTTTTTTATTTCAGCATATTATGGGGGTACAGATGTTTAGGTTATGTTACTTCTTTTAATGTTTTATCTTTTTAAGTGACAAATAATAATTGTATACATTCATGGGGTGCATAGTGATGTTTTAACACATGTAATGTGTGGTAACAGATCAGGGTAATTCTCATATCCACCATCTCAAACGTTTATCACGTCTTTGTGCTGGGAACACGTGATATCCTCCTTCTAGCTATTTGAAACTATTGCTATATATTACTGTTAACCGTAGTCATCTTGCAGCGGTATAGAACACTGTACTTGTTCTTCCTATCTGGCTGTAATTTTGTGTCCTTGAACAAATCTCTTCCTGGTGGGGCATGGGGACTCACACCTGTCATCCCAGCTCTTTGGGAGGCCAAGGCAGGAAGATCACCTGAAACCAGGTGTTTGAGACCAGCCTAGGCAACCTAGTGAGACCTCATCTCTACAAAAAAATTTTAAAAATTAGCTGGGAGTGGTGGCGCCTGCTTGTTGTCCCAGCTGCTCAGGAGGCTGAGGCAGGAGGATCGCTCAAGCCCGGGAGTTGGAGGCTGCAGTGAGCTCTGATCATGCCACTGCACTCCAGCCTGGTGGACAGAGCGAGACCCTGTCTCAAAAAAAAAAAAAAAAAAAATCTCTTCCCATCCCAGCCTTCTGCTGTTGTTGCTGTTATTATTACTGGTGTCCTTTTGTGCACAGAGGGGCTCTTCTACCCCGGATAAGCAAGACAGAGACATGAATAATGAAAACAGGATGGATTCCCCACCACTGACTAAGCGCTTCCTGTGGGTCCCACCACAAGCATTTGCCCCCTTAGCCCTCGTTACAGGGCTAGGAAGGAGGAACAGCTATTATTCCCATTTTACAGAGGAGTAGACTGAGGCTCAGAGAGGGGCAGCTACCAGCTCAGCGTCTCACAACAGGTCCCAGGTGGAGCTGGGATGCGAACTCTGAGACCCCGCGGCCTAGGGCTACGTGTGGGGATCCATCTCCCCCCGTGGCTTCCTGCCTGCCTCGGGGACTTGTGGCAAGAGTGTTGGGGAGGATGACGAGGGCTGGGCCTCTATTTGATGACACTGACCCCTTTTCTCTTTGCACACAGCACCTTCCACATTCGCATCTGACAGCGCCACGGAGGAGACACTGAGCTACAGCAGGGGCGGGTTGACCCTTCGCCCCACCATGGAGTCTCGTCTCGGCGAATAAACACAAGTCACTGACTCACACCTCTTGGGGGGGTCACATTTGCCACTTTAAATCTGGCAGATGGGAGGGAGGAGGCCCGGAATCTTACATTTGCCTGCTGCCGTGTGACGCTGGCTGTGGCCACACACTCTCTGGGCCACCATCTGCCTGTTTGTACAAGGAAGGGGCTGACTCTCAGATTTTCTTCACTGTGAAGGCTGGAAATGCCTCTTGGTGGGTCTCCATGGGCAGAGATAAGGTGGGGAGATCAGGCTCACCCAAGGACCCCCCACGGCTAAACCTCGGGTCTGCCTGCTCAAGTTTGTTCTTTTCTCCTAATCCCTGAGTCCTTCAAAGGGACTGACATTTCACTCCTTGCTAATTCCTTAGAGCTGCTAAGAGGAGGCCTCTGATGGAGAGTGGCTGGAGTGTCATTCACGGAGGCAGGCACTGCACTTTACAGTTTATGAGGCACCTGCCCCTCCGAGGAGTAATACTCTCCTTTGGAAGGAGCAGAGTGACTTGCCCAAGGCCACACCACGAGTCATTTGCAGAGGCCAGCTCGAACCCAGGTGCACCTAATTCCAGATCCCAGCCGTCTACATCTTGCAAATTTGGGGAGTCCCACCCCACTCCACCAGAGGATGTCCCAGGATCCCCTATCCATGCTCCAGTCAGTCTGATGAGTGGTCATTCCTGCAACCAAGACCAGCCCTCAGGGACCTTCCCAGACACCTCCACTGTACAGTGTGTCATTTCTAGAGAGCTCGCTCTCACCCTAAGCCCCTAATAAATTAAGCACCTACCGTGTGCCAGAACCCCCAGTTGTACGTGCATCCTGCCAGTTCATCCTGAGAAGGAGGGACTGCTAGTTTGCCTCATTTACCAGGTGAAGAAACAGGCCCAGAGAGGTCTAGACTTGCCAAAGGTCACACAGCACTGGAACCTGGTATTCCCTTCCGAGCCCACCCCCAAGCAGTGCTCTGTGATGCCTCCTCCCTTTTTTAAAGCAAAAGGGCTCATTTGCTTCCCCTCCAGCTGACGCTGATGATGCCGCAGCGCCTACCGTGCACCAAGCCCTCAGCACATCTCATCTCCTCACTCTGCATAAAAACCCCAGGAGGAAGGTGTGAACAGCCCCATTTACAAGCAAGAACATACTAGAAGGCGAGCCCAGGTGTAGCTCTGGTTTTAGACAAGAGCACAGACTATGTGGGAAAAGGGCTCGGACTCACTTGTCTTCAAATCCTGGTGCTGACACTGTGGCCTTTGTCGTGCCTCCTCTCCTCTCTGAACCTCAGTCTCTTCTTCAAAACGTGGAGAATGACCCTATCTGATGGGCTTGCTCAGAGGCGTAAAAGAAACAACAAACAAGGGGGGTTTGGCATGGGGCCTTGGCACACAGTAGGTGCTTAGAACCATCGCTGTGACTCTGATTGTTACTAAAATAACTGGGTCACTCCACTGGTGACTGCAGGACCAGACCCACAAAACATCTTTATTACATTTCCTGGGCTCCCAAGGACTGGTGTGGGGCTGTGGCAGCGCGAGGACATCAGGACTGTGGCAGCCTCTGACAGCGAAGGTTCCGGAGCCGGGGTGAACCCCTTCTCTAGCAGTACCCAGGGGCAAAGGGTGGCGGTGGGCGGTACTCCTCGGGGAGCCATTCCTCCTGGGGCTCTGCCCCGCCCCTCGGCTCCGGCCTGGACCCCGGGAAGGACAGAAGCCTCGCTACTGACTGGTGCCAACTGCTATCCTCCGGAGTCACCTTGTCCCAGCTGACCGACCTCTTGGTCTTCCTGGAGGGGACATTTCTGTCTCTTGGAGCTTGGGGCTGCGAGGGGCTTTTCAGGAATGTGGCCGCAAAGGGGTCCCTGCGGACATTGTCCTCGTGGGCTGCAGTGCCTGGGTGCTGTCTGCTGCCTGCCCTGGCCCCGGAGCCGTGGGTCACTGTCGATCTGGCGTCCCAGAGCGACGACAGACTCACAGCCGTGAGCTGGGACTTCAGCTGCTGCTGGACTCTCTTGCCCCTCTGGGGGAGCGTCTTGAGGTTCCTCCAGAGTTTCTGGTGGGCGTCCCCAAAAGGGGCTTTCGGGGGACAGGAGGAAGGGGCGTCCTCTGTGGGTCCTCCGTCCATCTCGGTCAACGGCTTGCTTTCCTTTGGCCGATCCAGCAGGACGGGCTTTGCGGGGGCCTGAAACCCAAAGCAGGGGAGACCTGGGGCCACCCTGCCCACCACAGCGCCGGAAATTGTGGCCCGGGTTGCTCCCGGATGCCCCGGGGCCGAGAAACGTCCCTGTGTGAACCCCCAAGCCAGATTCCACGCCCCATCCTTCCCATCTCAGGAAATGGCTTCGCCATCCTCCCCAGGGGTTGGCAAACTCTTTCCGTAAGGAGCTAGAAAGCAAATGTTTTCAGGCTTGCGGGCCACACCCGCAACTGCTTACCTCTGCTGTTGTACGGCAAAAGCAGCCATAGATTGTGCACCAATGAACAAACCTGCCTGTGTTCCAGTAAAACTTTATCTGGATGTCATCGGACTCTATATTATCTTGACTTTGTTTATTTCGACCATTCAGAAATGTCAAAGCCATGCCTAGCTCGAGGGCCCTACAGAAACAGGCAGTGGACCTGAAGCGGCCCACGGGCCATAGGTTGCCAACCCCTGATCTAACCACTTGTTCAGGCCACAAACATGAGTGTCAGCGCCTCGCCTTGCTCTATATCCCTTTGCCGTGACCAGCCCCGCTCCCAAATGCCAGTACTGGGGACTCTGCCTGGGGACCTCCTTTGGTCACCAGGGCCCACTGTGTTCATGCACGGTGGACCAAAAGTAACAGAGATTTAAAATCTCCCAGTGACTAATGGAAGTTGGAGGATAAATACCCCAGCTCCCTCGCGCCTAAGGTGGCATAACCGAGGTGCGTGTTCTACACAGCCCCCAGCATTCCCCGGGGGACCGAGCCCTGGTTGCCCACAGGGGTCACCCACTCACTGATGCACCCTTCATTCACTGTCCTCTCTCTCCTGCCCTGTTTCCCAGCTCCCCTACTGCCATCTCCTGGGGTCGTCTCTCGAATAACGGAGGACCAAGAGACCCGCACCTTGACAACGCCCCTCTTTCCCTTACCCTCCATGTCCGAGCCATCCACAAGCTCCCTTCTAAAACACGTCCCAAATACCCACTTTTCTTTCCATCCCCAGGGTTCCCATTCTGGTCCCTCCCACCTGGAAGCTGCCCCTGCCTCCTTCTTTCTGCTCCCCAAAAGCCAGAAGATCTGCAGGCAGCAGCCACAAGGAACATTTAAAACCATCAATACAGTCATGCTCAAGGTCTCTGACAGCTTCCTGGCACACGTGGAATAGAATCCCAGCTTCTCACTCTGGCCCCAAACCCCTGTGAAAATTGGCCACTGCTAACTCATGTGCTTTGCCTTTCAACAGTCTCCCTCTCACTGACTCCACTCCATCTACACCCTGGCTATTGTTGTTCTACTTTTCAAACACACTGAGCCCCAGGACCTTTGCATGTGCTGTTCCTGCTGCCTGGACGCTCTGCCTGCATCTCTGTATGTTCCGGATTCCTCCTCACCCTGCACATCCCAGTTCTGTGCCATTTCCTCCAGAAAGCCTTCCCTGACTGCCTCCCCTGACTTGCACCTCTGTTGATGTTCATTGCACCAGCCTGTTTTGTTTCCACCACTATCAGAACTTCCCTGCTGTGCAGGGGGCTTGGAGAGCACCTGGGCCTCAACCTAGGGGCATCTAAAAGTCCACCCATCTCTGAGAAGCTGGGATATATTCATTCATTCATTCATTTATCTACTACACAGACTCATTGGTTGAGCACCTTCAATACGTCAGGTCTTAGGGGTGGGAGAAGCAGCGGCAAACAGGGAAGATGGATTCCCGAGCCTCCCAAAGCTCACAGTCTGATGGGAGAGGCAGACAGGGAACTTGTAAACCCACACATAAACAAGACTTTTTAAATTCTGAGAAGCACTCTGCTGTGAATAAACAGGGTGATGTGGGAGAGAATGCAGTTGGTCTTGCTTTGAGTCTGGAAGCTGGGGAAGGAGACCCTTGAAGGAGAACTGCAGGAAGGCATGGGAGGTCAGGGTACAGAACACACAGCATGTGCAAAGGTCCTGCAGTTCCAGAGAAGGACCATCAGTGATGGTGGGCAGAAAGAGGAGTTGAAGTTGCAGTTTGAATTTAATGTCAGGAAAGCACTGGAAAGTTTATGAGCACCAAGCTACATGCAAGACCTAATTCTCATTCCAGAAAGAGCCTCCCCTGGCAGCTGTTGATCACTTCTGCTCCTGCCCTTCCCTCAGGTGGAGGTGCCAGCCTCGGGTCACATACCTCCTTAGGTGCGGCCACCGGGCAGGAGGAAGGTCTCTGATGCTCTCTGGGGTCACGGGCAGGGCTGGTGGCTTCTTCAGCCAGCGTGTAAGAGTAAAGGAAGAGATCCTCGTAATCCACGTTTTCCGGGTCACTCTGTGGGGTAAAAGGGACCTGTAGTTTAGCACTATGAAGGGGAAAGGGACCGGGCTGGGGTCCTGAATGAACCCTGGAAGGAAGGTCTCAGGGACTGTCCCACCCCACTGCAGCTCCTTAGGACCTGAGCCTATTAAGGGAATAAGCCCCACCCACAGCAATTTCTTAAGGGTTAGACCGCACCCACTGAGCCTAATAAGGAAATAAGCCCCACCCACAGCAGTTTCTTAAGGATTAGACCACATCCACTGAGCCTATTAAGGGAATAAGCCCCGCCCACAGCAGTTTCTTAAGGGTTAGACCACACCCACTGAGCCTATTAAGGGAATAAGCCCCGCCCACAGCAGTTTCTTAAGGACTAGACCACACCCTCTGGGCCTAATAAGGAAATAAGCCCTGCCCACAGCCAATTCTTAAGGACTAGACCACACCTTCTGGGCCTAATAAGGAAATAAGCCCCGCCTATAGCAGTTCCTTAAGGACTAGACCACACCCTCTGGGCCTAATAAGGAAATAAGCCCCGCCCACAGCAGTTTCGTAAGGGCTAGGCCACACCCACTGAGACTTATACAGAAATAAGCCCCGCCCACAGCAGGTTCCTGGGGGCTAGGGCCACGTCCACCGGGGCTAATAAGGAAACATGCCATTCCTACAGATCAGCCGAGGCCTGCACATGAGCCCTTGTGCAGGGGGCCAGGAGGGGTCAAGGGCCATGAGAGTGACAGAATCAAGAGAGAATCAAGGTGGGGGGTGGGAGCAGAGGGGTCTGGGAGGCTTGGCCCCAAGGAGATGGCAGTGGCCCTCGTGGGCCCTCCTTCACCTGCCCGCAGGGCTGTGTCAGCAGCTCCCCGTGGGAATCAATGGGCTTCTGCTGGTGGAAGGTGACCAGATCGTCCAGTGAGGCGTGGGCCACCATCTCCCCGGGCATCACGAAACGCCCATCGTCCAAGAGCTTCACCATGAAGTGGCGGCAGCAGCTTTGGGCTCTGCGGAGACACTGTTCGGGCTGGGACATCCCACTCCCTATCCTTCCTCCCCTTAACCCCCGCTGGCTAGCCATGCAACACCCACCCCATTGCTACTCTCACTGCCTCAGTTTCCCCATTTATAGCACGGGCTACTAAGATGGACCTCAGTTCTTGTGAAGATAAAACAAGCCACTACAGGCAAAACTCTGCGCCCGGCTTGGGGTAAATGAGCAGTAGATATGATAACAATGAAACGTTTTGAGTAGACCCCAGCGTAAGGCTGTGTGCCCGGCACACAGCAAGCGCTCAATAAATGCTCCGTTAATCAATGCAACTATTTATTAATGGCTATGTGCTTACTATATCTCATTTAATCCTCACATCAAGACTCTGCGTTCATTAAATTGTAGCGTTCCTTTGCAGGAGACACAGAGAGGTTGAATAACTTGTCTGAGCTCACACAGCATGGAATGGCAGAGGTGAACCTTGGACCGTGTGACTCCCAGCCCAAGCTTTTGCCACTGTGAGGAACTCTGTAATCGAGCCATTGGACTTGTTTATTCCTTTGGCCTGGAATCTTTTGGATTTGCCCTTTGAAAAATAAGTTTTGTGCTTCCGAATCTTCTGAAATAATACCAGATCAGGCTTTCAGGTGTTAAAGAGCTGGACTTCCCTGGGTTTCCTTAACCCCAAATCGGGGAGTCACTAATTAGATTGTTAGGGGTGGGGGGGGAGAAGAGCAACCATTCTGAGGCCTCCAGCAGCCCCTTGTTCTTAGACCTACAGTCTCCGTTACTGCTGAGCCTGTGTCTGCTGGTTACAGCCAGACCTGCAGCCGCTCGCTCTGGCCACACCCTCACACTGTTTGCTCTCTGAGAAGTTGTGGCATGAATCACCCCTTGCTGCCTCCAAAGAAGCCCCAGAGCCCACCTGCCCCTGCCCTGGCCCCTGGCCCAGGCCTTACTTGTAAGAGAGCGTGTAGCCCACGTGGCTGTGACTGACCCGGATGAGAAAGGACCCCAGTGGCTGTGACTCCAGCAGGTTCTCGGCATCCCTGGAAGGGCACACACAGGAAGGAGATGGCCACAGCTCAGCCGCCTCAGGTACCGGCCGGCCTCCTGGTGCCACGGAGCCACGGAGGCCGGTCCTTTTTTGGTTTTCTAAATGAACAAACAACCTAAAACCATTTTTTTTTTCTCAGTTGGGATATTCAGGGACCAGGAGTGTGCACCAGAGATGGTAGGAGGCCTCCGATGACCGTGACCCCAGGTCAGGCCTCCTCCCTTCTCTGTCTGTCCCCACCTGCCTTCCCAAACACCTGCGAGTCCCGCATTAGGCACCTTTGGGTGGGTCAGGGTATCACAGGTAACAGAGAAGGAGTCCTCGGATGCGTCTGGGTTCAAAGCCCAGCTCTGCTGTTGATCAGCTGTGTGACCTCAGGTGATGGGCTGTCCCTCTCTGACCTTCAGCTTCCTCGAGGGGAGAGTCAACCCTCACTCCCGGGGCGGATGTGAGAACAGGTGAAACGCATGAAACATCGCAAGCGCGGGACCTGCTTCCTGGTAAGAGCTCCCAAAATATTTGCTATTGTGATTACTGTTATGCATTCTGTCATTACTACAATGCTATTATCTGGGGTTTGCAGAGAGTAAGGCAGCCTTCTGTGGGGTAACATGGGGAGCCTTTGGACCTGCACTGTCCAATACAGAGGCCACTGGCCATGAGTGGCTACTGGCCACTTGAAACATGGCTGGTCTGAATTGAGATGTGCTCTCAGCTTGTAATACATGCTAGATTTTGAAAACAGTACTTTTTTTTTTTTTTTTCGAAACAGGGTCTCCCCTCTATTGTTCGGGCTGAGTGCAGTGGCACAATCATAGCTCACTGCAGCCTTGAACTCCTGGGCTCAAGTGATCCTCGTGCCTTAGCTTCCTGAATAGCTGGGACTATGGGTGCACGCCACCATGCCCAGCCAATTAAAAAAAAAAATAGAGATGGGGTCTTGCTATGCTGCCCAGGCTGGTCTTGAATTCCTGGCCTTAGGCAATCCTCCCACCTCAGCCTCCCAGAGTGCTGGGATTACAGGCATGAGCCACTGCTCCTGACCCTCATGGATCAAATTTTTAGTTTAGGTTACATGTTGAAGTGATATCTTGGATAGACTGGGTTAAATAAAATATATGATTAAAATTAATTTCACCTGTTACCTTTGACATCATCTTTTTTTTTTTTTTTTTGAGACAGGGTATTGCTATGTTGCCCAGGCTGGCTTCAGACTCCTGGGCTCAAGCGATCCTCCCACCTCAGCCTCCCAAATAGCCGGGACTACAGGAATGTGCCACTTTTTAATACAGCTACTAATGATTGTTAAATTGCAATGTGCAGCTCATGTCTTATTTCTATTGGACAGCTCGGCGCCAGAGCTCAGACACCATACCCGAGGCTTCCCCTCTGTGGCCTTCACAGAATTATCTCAATTTCCTTGTATGCAGACGGTGCCAATAAATGTTCTTTTCTTCCATTTATATCGAGCCAGGCTCTGGAGGTAACTAACTGGCTGGATTTGTTTGTTCATGTCCTCAGAGCTCACAGTCTGAAGCAGAAAGGACATATTGGTGACATCCTGATGGATTGACAGCAGATGCCATCATTGGTTGGGGGCACCTGTCCCGGGCAAGGTGGGGGTTGCTGCCAGGTCGGTAGCAGTGCTGGCCCGGTGGCTACTTGTATGGAGAAAGCTGAGGCCCAGAGAGGGCAGGTAAGTCGCCCAAGGTCACCTCTCCTCCGCAGAGGAGGCAGGATTCAAGCCCAGAACTCAAGAGCGCTTTCCATCCACTCTCTTACTCAGCTGAGCTGAGCCAGGGTTCTGAAATAAAAACCTGCTCAAGGTGGGGCATATAAGGAAAGAGGGTATGGGGTATTGGTGTCCTCACTCTCTAGAGATGGCACCATGGAACCACTTGGGGACCCCGTCTTGGGCCAGCTGGCCCATCTGGGTGTGCACGAACCAGTCCAGTCGTGGGGGTAGCGGTGGGGGCAGTTTACCGGCCTCTGTCATGGCTTCCTGGGGTGGGGTTCACCTGGGGGCGAGAGAGGGGGACAGTCAAGCTTGGTGTACCTCCTATATTTGCTCTATTCTCACATCTTTTGCTCCTCCTTTGAGAAGTCCTCCAGGCTTGACAGAACAATGGGCTTAAAACTGGCTTATGTTTCTTGAGCACCTACTATGTGCATGGCACTTTTTACACATCCATCCATTGTCTCCTCCCAAAAATCCTCTAGCACTTTTCTTGTTTTTTTTTTTTTTTTTTTTTGAGAGAGGGTCTCACTCTGTTGCCCAGGCTGGAGTGCAGTGGTGTGATCATAGCTCACAGCAACCTCAACCTCCTGGGCTCAAATGATCTTCCCGCCTCAGCCTCACGAGTAGCTGGGACTACAGGCGCTCACCACCACACCCAGCTAATTTTTCTCATCTTTTTCTTCCTTTCTTTTTCTTTTTCTTTTTCTCTTTTTCTTCCTCTTCTTCTTCTTTTTTTTTTTTTTTTTTTTGCAGAGACAGGATCTGGCTATGTCACCCAGGGTGGTCTTGAACTCCTGGGTTCAAGCGATCCTCCTACCTTAGCCTCCTGAATAGCTGGGACTACAGGCATGTGCCACCACATCCAGCTAGTTTTTAAAATTTTTTTGTAGAGATGGGGTCTCACTATGTTGCCCAGGCTGGTCTCAAGCTCCTGGCTTCAAGAAATCCTCCTGCTTCAACCTCTCAAAGTGCTGGGATTGCAGGTGTGAGCCACCACATCTGGCTTTTTGTTCTTATTATGCATTACTACAAGGGCTAGAAAGTTCCCTTTATAAATAAGTGTATTTCAATTTATGAATAGAGTTTATTTAAATATCGAGTCAATATCAATGTCCCTGGAGGGATGAGGAGACGGGCAGATGAATGCAAGAGCCGCCCCGCGGTGCGCACCACACAGGGTTGCCTCGGTTTCATTAAACACTAGAGACATGTGGCCCAGACTGTTGCTTCTGCCACCAGCGTTGCCACACGTAGTGACCACCGATGGCTCTGCTACGATGTGTCAGGCGTGTCGTTAATTTACACGCATTCTCAACAAGTTTAAGCTCAAGGTACCACTGGACTTCGTGAGCCAATAGCACAAAGCTGGAGAAAGACAGAAAACAGCACCGATTTGCAAAACGGCATCGAGTCTGTAAAACCAGCAAAAGGATCGTGCCCTGCTGAATTGGCCCCAAGGCCCCCTCACGCTCACCCTTAATTCTATCCCCAGACTGGGGCTCAGACCCCTCCCTCACTGGCCCCATCTACTTTTTCAATATCTCAAAAGGTCTTTGTTACTGGGCTGTTTCTCTGGGCACAGAGAAACACTGGCATGTTGACCAATGGCAGTCAATATTGACTCCCCTGCGGGAACACAAGCACACCCTCTAGGGTGTAGCCCAAGGGAATTCGGGGGCAAGTGAGATTAAACAGATCTATTAAGAAATGTTTAATAAAACAGGGTGACAAAGCGACAGAGAGCCTGGAATTGGAGCCAGATGGCCTAGGTTTGAACCCTAGCTCCCCCACTTAGCTGCTGTGTGACCTTGGGCCAGTCACTTAACCTCTCTGTGCCTATATTTTCATCTGTTACTTGGGGATAATGATATTTGCCTGGGAAGGTATAGTTGGCACAGAGTAAACATTGTATATGTATATATATTAATATATGTCATATTGGTAAATCCAGTTGCAAACTAGCACGGGGCAATGTTTATAGGCTTATTCTTTTTTCTACTTGGAAGAACTCCTATTTATCCTGCAAAACCTGGTAAGAATGTCCCCTCGTCCAGGCAGCTTTCCTGCCTCTCCTCCCAGACAAAGCCCTGGCAACCGTCTCTGTCCCACCTTCCCCACTGGTCCTCCCCCTGGCCCAGCCATCATCCCATGGAGTTGGTGTGTTTTCGTCTGGCTCCGTCTCCACCAGACTGAGGTCTCCTGAGGCCCAGGACCCAGGGCTGGGCTCTTCTTTTTCAGTCTGGGTGCCCAGCATGCCCTGGTGCTGGCTGGGCCCAGAGGAGGGTGCAAGGGTGCTTGCCGGTGAAGGTCTCTCTAGTGATGCATGAAGCCATACTAAATTTCAAACTCCTGACCTCGGTCTCGGGGCCTTCCCCACTTCCTCATTCCCCGCATTCTGGTCCTAAGGCCGTCCTTGCTCTCTCTCCCGTCCACGCCTTTGCCCACATTCCCCTGCCAGGAGTGCCCTTTCCCCAACTCGAGTTCCATGTTCCCATGGTCACCTCAAATGCCCCCTCCTCCAGGCAGCCCTCCCCCTTCCCCCCAGAAAATCCCTCATGCCGCTCTGCACCCCACCAGCCCCACCCCCATGCTCTGTCTCCCCCGCGGGAGGGCCGGGAGGGTGCTGAGGCTCGTGGAGCACGTACCTGGGGGCCCCCTGGGTGGCCGAGACCCTGGTTCTGGCTGTGCGGGCGCCTGCAGGAGCCGGGTTTCGATTCAGGGTCTGCATGTCGTCAGTGGGGCGGGACTGGCCGCCCCTAAGCAGCTTTGGGTTTCTGTTTCCTCCTGAAGGTGAGCCCTGGAGGCGGGACCAGTCACCCTCTGTCTGCCGTCCCACAAAGCGGCAGAGCTGCAGCTGGGGGACACCTCGCCCCTGCCTAGCCCTCAACGAGCTTCTCTAGAGCACCTACTGTGTGCCAGCTCCTCGGGGGACGTAGGGGTGACCCCAAGACAGGTGCAAGCCCTCCTCTCCTGGCACGCAGAGTCTATCAGGGAGAAATCAGTAATGTTGCAAGGGGGGACAGAGGGTCTTGCTGGCCTAGGCAGAGGGGCACCGAGGGCAGGTAGGAGTCAGCGCGACTCTGGGTGGGGGTGGCGCAGAAAGAGGGAACGGCACGGTCAAGGGCTCTGAGACCAGACGGAGCCTGGACAGGCTGGGGGCCCACGGCACGCACGGGGCCACGCCGGGTCTTCCTCTGTCAAAACAAAACACAAAGAAACAAACAAACAAAAAAACCCACAGACATTTAACATTAGATTTTACAATTGCATTGGCATCAAGCCCCTGCAGCCAGACTGGATTCCTTATCACGTGTTTATTATTGGTGTGTTCTTTCTCTGTTTTTTTTTTTTTTTGAGACAGAGTCTCGCTCTGTTGCCCAGGCTAGAGTGCCGTGGTGTCAGCCTACCTCACAGCAACCTCAAACTCAAGGGCTCAAGCGATCCTCCTGCCTCAGCCTCCCGAGTGGCTGGGACTACAGGCATGTGCCACCAGGCCCGGCTAATTTTTTTATATATATATTTTAGTTGTCCAGCTAATTTCTTTCTATTTTTTTTTAGTAGAGACGGGGTCTCGCTCTTGCTCAGGCTGGTCTCGAACTCTTGAGCTCAAGCCATCCTCTCGCCTCGGCCTCCCAGAGTGCTAGGATTACAGGCGTGCGCCACCGCGCCTGGCCCTCTTTTTCTTTTTTCTGATTTGAAAAGAAGTTCAAATATTTTGGGAGCTCCTACACATGTCTCGTGGGCCCTGGGTGTGGCCCCCGTGCTTAGCGGATTGGCCAGTGGGCACACAGGCGAAGCCACTTCCTCCCTCTCACGCAGAAAGGGCTCAGATCCCCCTGGCTGGGCTGGGGACCTCTCCACCGGCCTATTGCTGTGGCCCAGCTGGGCTAGATCATCCCTGCTGTGGGCTCAGGCCGGGTGCCCCCTCAGCCCCCTGTTGCTTCTCGGGGTGGCGGGCGGAGGGGTGTTGTCTGGAGTCTGTAGGTCAACAAGCCCCGAGCAGGAGACAGACACTTGGAACCTGGCTTCTCGCTCGACGCTGTGTGGCCTCAGGTGAGTCGCTCAGCCTCTCTGTGCCTCTCACTCCTGCAGTGCAAAGTGGGCGTGACAGGAGAACTCCTCCGTCACATGAAGACGATGGGAGTGACCACCCTCCAGCACGGAGCAGGGAGCTCAGTCGAGAGTAATGACATCAGGACTCTTCGTTGAGGCACCTAATCCGGTGCCTTTGTGCTTGACTGAGGGAGACAAAGTCTTGGGCTCCGAATCTCACCGGCTGGGCCGCCTTGGGCAACTCACTTCACCTCTCTGATCCTCCATGCCCTCCGCAGCCCGATGGGCTCGCAGATCCGACGGTGAGGGACAGACGCTGCTGTGGGAGGGGACTGGAAGTGCCTGAGAGATCCCTGCCCCCGGGAAAATCCGCCCATCGGGGGTCTCGTTTGCGTGGGGTTCAAGGTCCCCAGGAACTTGGGGCCTCGCTCCGGCCCCGCCCCCTGCGGCCCCACGGCAAAGGGTCCAGCTCACTTCCCCTGACCTGCTTGGGCAATGTGGTCTCCCGCAAACTAACGACTTCCTTTCAAGAATGTCACAACAGAATCGCGCCCCAGCCCCTTGGTGTCAGCAGTCCCTGGCCTGCAAGTGGACACGCAGCCCTCAGAGGAAGGAAGGGGACCCATGCGGCCTGCGTGGTGCGGGGGACGGAGGTGCCCCAGTGGGGGGACAGCAGGGCTGGGACTCCAAGGACCCCTCCCTCCGATGTCAGCTTCATCCAGGGAGATAGATCTGGGCTTTCCTCTGGAGGCCTCAGCTGGTGAGTGGGAGGTTCGCAGCCCCATGCAGGGGTGGCCCTCCCAGCAGGTGGCCACCATACAGTCTCAGTGCTGGGAAAGTGCTAGAACCACAGATGTTAGGGAGTGGGGAAGTCCGCAGGCTAGGCCCGCGCTGGGCTTGATGCAGTTTTATGGTTCTAGCTTCCTATAATGCCTCTGTTCACTCAGATCCCACCAACACTGGCTGGACCCTAGATCTGTGCAGGCACCATGCTAGATGCTGGAGCTGAAGCCAGAGACAGGACAGGCACGGTCCCCGCCCTGCTGGGGCCCACAGCCCATGGGGAGGCAGAGGCTGAGCAAGTTCACATGCAGGAAAGGCTGGCAGAGGAGGAGACAGCAAGTGCAAAGGCCCTGGGGCAGGAATGCACTAGACAGCTTGAGGAGGAGACAACAGCCAAGGTGTCAAAGGGACGGAAACAACCCCAATGCCCATCAGTACATGAAGGAATCCAGAAAACATAGTCCATCCTCACCGTGGAATGTGATTCTGCCTCGTGGAGGAATGAAGCAGTGATACGTGGTATCTACCACGTGGATGAAGCTCAAAAAAGTTATGCCGAGCGAAAGAAGCCAGACTAGACACGAAAGACCACACACTGTGTGACTCCACTGATATGAAATGTCCTGGACAGGCAAAGCCACAGAGACAGGAAGCTGATTAGCGGTGGCCAGGGGCTGGGGTGGCGGGGGTCGGGGGGAGTGGAGAGTGACTGCTGATAGGGACAGGGATGATGCAAATATTCAAAAATTGACTTGGGGCCGGGTGCGGTGGCTCATGCCTATGATCCCAGCACTCTGCGAGGCCGAGTCGGGAGGATCACTTGAGGCCAGGAGTTCGAGACCAGCCTGAGCAGGAGTGAGAACCATCACTACTAAAAATAGAAAAATTAGCCGGGCGTGGTTGTGGCACCTGTAGTCCCAGCTACTCGGGAGGCTGAGGCAGGAAGATCGCTGCAGCCCAGGAGTTTGAGGCTGCAGTGAGCTGTGATTGCGCCACTGCACTCCAGCCTGGGCGACAGAGCGAGACCCTGTCTCTAAAAACAGAACAAAAGAAAAAAGCCGAGGTGTCATCTCTCTGGGTCCAAGGGGACGGCCTCCTTGCCTGCCACACCACGAAAGCCCCTGGAGATGGGAAAATTAGGGATTCGCTGAGCAAGAGAGCAGGTATAAGGTGGGACTTAAGAGTGGAAGGAACCCTGGCCCGGTCGGGTACAACTGCGTGGGAAATCGGAGGAGTTGGGGACGAATACAATGATTACTCAAGCCCGTGAGCTACATTGGCGACTTGTCCCCTTGAAAAGGGGTGAGAAGTGGGTTCTTTTCTTGGGCCACAAGATGCGACGATGCTGTTGTTGGCAGCTTATTCTGTCTCCATGCTTGTTACGTGTCTCTCTGTCCTCTGGGTCCCACCATCTCACTGGCCCTTTGCGGCGTGGAAACTGTGACCGTCCCATGTCGCAGAGGAGGGGACGTGCCCAAGGTTGTCGCGGGTCTGGGATTCGAGCCAGGGGAGCTGCGTCTTATCTGTGACCTGCAAAAGGCCCAGAGGAAAGCCAGGCACGGGGCGGGTGCTCAATCAGCGTTTGCTATTAATTGCCATCGGCCATCAATTTCTCAGAATTTTGCGGCTTCAGGCAGGGATGGAAAGAGAAAAGTTTCCCAAAGTGGCCGATTAGCAGGCATTGCTGGGGGACTTTGAGTTTTAGAAGCAGGAATCGGGGCCTTCTGGAAGCGGGTGGCCCAGGGATGGAAAGCCCAGCAATGCTGATAGTAGCTAAGCTGGGGACCACCAGGGCAGGCCCCTAACCAGGGCAGGTGGGGAGGGAGTGTGTGGCCAGGGGCTCCCACCCCTTTCTTTGTACTGCCTTCTCCTCCGCGGGATTTAGAGGCGGTTTGGGGGCCCCAGAAAAGAGGACGCCTGGGGATGGGAAGCTGTCCATGAGGTTGCAGAGGCCACAGGGTTAACCCTGGCAGCTGGTTGCTTTGAGGGGAGAGATGTCAGCTCCTCCCTGCTCACGCCTTCACCCTCGAAGCCATGTGTTGCGTGTCCTTCATTTCTTTTTATAGACAGGGTCTTGCTCTGTCGCCAGGCTGGAGTACAGTGGCATCATCCTAGCTCACTGCAGCCTCTAACTCCTGGGCTCAAGTGATCCTCCTGCCTCAGCCTCCCGAGTAGCTGGGACTACAGGTGCACATCACCATGTCTGGCTAATTTTTCTATTTTTTGTAGAGGCAGGGTCTCGTTATATTGCCCAGGCTGGTCTCGAACTCCTGACCTCAAGTGATCCTCTCACGTTGGCCTCCTTAAGTGCTAGGATCATAGGTGTGAGCCACCCCACCCAGTCTAAACTTCTTTTGTACAAACGATGCAGTTTATGCTCCTCACGTGCTTTCTTTCTGGGAGTCTGCAATCTTAGTACGCGCCAGGCAAAGGGTGTCTGTGGGACCGGCCCCAGTAAGGACCTGAGCATGGAGTCTCTCACGAGCTTCTGTGACAAGACATATTGCACATTTGTTGCTGGGGGAGTTAAGCACGTGGTGTGTGGCCCCACTGCGAGAGGACTCTAGAAGCTTCTGCCTGGTTTCCTCTGGACTTCACCCTGTGTGCCTTTTCCCTTTGCTGGTTTTCCCGGCACCCCTTTGCTGCGACACATCTTGGCCCTGAGTGCAGCTATATGCTGGGTCCTAGTGAACCCCTGAACCTGGGGTGGCCTTGGGGAACCCCCAGACCGGGTAGAGGAAACACCCTGGGGAGCAGTCAGGAGGTGGCCCTGGCAGGAGCCACCAGGGAGGCAGGAGGGAAACAGTGGCCGAGACGTGTGGCAGAAACCAGGTGGGGGGTGGGTGGGGAGCGCTCAGAACCAACGGCTCAACTCGGCCACACAGGTGTCATCAGGCACCGAGAGCAGGGAATTTTGGTGGCACGACGGGGACGGACGCTGGCTGAGTGGGCTGAGCGAGCACACAGGGCGCGGAAGTAGAGCCATGAGGGGGACGCCTCTGTTTTCCTGCCAAAGGTGGGCAGAGGTGGGGCTGGGCTGCAGAGGGGCCGGGCTGGGAGCCTCCCTTCCCAGGTTTGTCTTTTGAGGATGGGTGTCGTGTCCTCCGAGGCACACCCCGGCTGAGGTGGCCCCCAGCTCCTACTTTGACCCCTCCACCCCTGACACCTGGCCACCTCCGTGTGGCCCACGGGGAAAACGTGCACGTCAAAATCCCTGAACTGTAAAATGAGCTTTAATTTGTTTTCCTTAAGTGCATTTATTGATGTAAACAGAGCATGTTAGATTCCGGGGGAGCGCGGACTATTGCTGGTATGTTGGTTTAATTAAAAAAAAAAAAAAAAAAAAGACACTACGACGCCCATGGCTTCGATTGACAGCAGCTTAAGGAGGGGAAAGAAAAACCAAAAGAAAAGGCTCCCGGTGACGCTGCTCCAGCAAGGTGACCTGGTCCCAACTGCAGTCTCTCCAGGGGACAGCACGGCTGTCAAGATGGAACCCAGTGATGACAGCTGAGCACCCCCCACCCGCTGCCACGGAATGATGCGTCTCGGCCACATCCAGCCGGGGGCGTCAGGAGCTTGTTCCTCATCACCTAGGTTTGCCGCCGGGAATCAAAGACGGAACCGCTTCATGGCACTACGAATCTGGAAATATAAAATCTCAGCTAGGAAGGACGTCCGATTTGGAGGCAGCGGGGGGGGACGCAGAGGAGGCAGGGGCCATGTCAGGGCTGAGAGGAGGGTGACCCGATGGCGGGAGGACCGCGGGGCAGGTGTGGTTGTGTTTTCGCGGTCACCTGTGGCGCGCGCAGCCAGCGTCCCCTCAGTGCTCAGACGGCGCCAGCCGAGGGGCCTGGCCGGACCCCAGCCCTCAACCCCGCTGTGAACGGGAGGCGCCGCCCCAGGGTTCTTTCCTTCTCGACGCCTTACACAGGATTTCCTTAACTTGTGCTTCCCTTTGGCTTAATAGTTAAAAAAAGAGAGCGGGGCAGAGAAACGGTTTTTGTCACTTGTCTGAAACCGAGAAGGGAGGAGGGAGTGGACAGCAGGTTTGCTGGGCGGACGCCTCCCCGGGCCTGGCGGTCGGTTGCGTGGATCAAAGTGCGGGGCCTGACGCTCCCAGAACTGCCGCTGGCCTTCAGTGGCCTCGCTTCCCCGGCAGGGTCGTGTGAACGGGCTCCCCGGTGGGGCTCCGTGTGGCCCGCGGCAAGGCATCGAGGCTCAGAGCCGGAGGCCTGCCACTGGGTGTTGCTGCCCGTCACACCCTGACTGCACTTCTCTCTCTCTTTCTGGAAACTCGATGCGTGGGGTCGGCCCGTTCAGCGGACGTTACAGGAAAAAATAGCAAATTCTTAACTTATTCCATCTCCGAAGTTGAAAAAGATCAGACGGTTACTAAAATAAAACAATTTCTCAATTGCATTCTGGTGGCCGAGGGCCCGGTGGCCGCGGCGCGGGCGGGGCGTTGGAGGTGGGAGGGCCCCGGCTGAGTGAGGGGCTCACTCGGAACAGGCACAGTCAGCTCGGCTGAGCGAGGCGCAGAGTAAGGCGGCGTTCCTCACAGAAGAACACACCGGAAAAAGCTGCTCCTCTTCTGCTGGTCTGGTGTGATTTTGACTCCCTGGTTGCTGCCCTGGGGGCTGTTGCCTTCCTGAAGTCACAAGAGGTTTTCCGAGGTTACTGCGGAGCATCAGTGCCACGTCTCATGACCAGCCAGCCGGTCACCGCCAGTCCATGCACTCATCTCCTGCCAATCAACCGTCCATCCATCCCCTTCCAGCCATCCATCCATCATCCATCTCCTTCCAACCATCCACCCCTCATCCATCTCCTTCCAACCATCCATCCATCATCCATCTCCTTCCAACCGTCCCCCTCCTTCCAACCGTCCATCCATCATCCGTCTCCTTCCAACCGTCCATCCATCATCCGTCTCCTTCCAACCGTCCATCCATCATCCGTCTCCTTCCAACCGTCCATCCATCATCCGTCTCCTTCCAACCGTCCATCCATCATCCGTCTCCTTCCAACCATCCATCCATCATCCGTCTCCTTCCAACCATCCACCTCCTCCCAACCATCCATCCATCATCCATCTCCTTCCAACCGTCCATCCATCATCCATCTCCTTCCAACCGTCCATCCATCATCCACCTCCTTCCAACCATCCATCATCCATCTCCTTCCAACCGTCCATCCCCCTCCAACCATCCATCCATCCTCTTCCAATCATCCATCCCTCTATTCTCTTTTACCCACCCATCCAACTGTCCCTTCACAAACAGATCTACTTTTCATCTCCTACCCATCACCTTCCAACCATTACATCAATCACTCATTCACCTACCCATACCCTTCCCACTCACCCTCCTGACATCTTTCCAATCACTTATTCTCCCATCCAACCCTCCTCTTTCCATACTTCCTTCCCTCCATTCACCTGCCCCCTTCTCCTTCCTTTTTTCCAGCCATCTACCCATCTGTGCTGAGAACCTTGCACTGAGGCAGCCCAGGGGCAGCCAAAAGACTGTGTCCCTTGGGCTTTGGGAGGCCTGGGTTCCAGGTCCCGCTGCCACTTCCACCCACTGGTCTCCGTGTTCCTGTGCCATGGTGCTGCCTCACCATTCTCCTCTCTAATCTGCTTTCCGCCTGCCATCATCGGGAATGTAAGACCATCAACTCATTCTCTACTGAAAACCCACCAGTGCCCCCCACCAACTTCAGAGCCGAACGCCCTAAGTCAGTTGCCTGGTACGCAAGGCTTCTGTGATCTGTCCACTGCAGACCCTGGAAACTCAAATCCTGGTTTCTTCCACCTCACCCTGTTTGAAAGACTTGCACCCACTGCCCCCACCCCCGACCTTCTTTTCTCTAACACTTCATCTCTTGGCTCTTAGGTAAAACCTGGTTGACTCAATAGCAACTATCGAAGGCCTGCAACGTGCCAGGCGCAGTGGCAGATGAGACAAGAGGTCCTGTCCAGGGGAGCTCGGCCTGTGCAGGGGAAGACAAATCACTCGGGAAACGCACGTGCAGTGTGACTTCCCAGTGGTGAGCAATGACAGAACGAGGCAGGACGAGGGGTGGAGGTGACGGTGGAAGGTGTGTTTCTATGGCAACGTCCGAATGGAGGCTTCACAGGGGAGGAAGTGAGACCAGGGGTGGGCCGGGGTGTGGTCAGCAGAACACCGGCCACGAAGATGTCCACGCCCATCCCCTGGAACCTGCGAATATGGTACCTGACCTGGCAAAAGGGACTTTGCAAATGAGATGACGGTGAGGTGGGGAGAGGGGCCTGAAATACCCGGGTGGGCCCAGTCTGGTCACAGGACCCCTAAGAAGTGGAGCAGCTGTGGTCAGAGAACGGGGTAGGATTCTACTCTTGGTGCTTTGCAATTCGGTTAAGAAAAAGCTAAATGGCCAGGACAAGGGTTGCACGTGGGCACTTTGCAATCTACTCCATGAAAGGATCCGGCATGTTCTGCAGGTAGTCAGTTGCCTGGCATCACGAGTGCGGGCAGAGGAAAGCCAAGCGCCACCACAACGCTCAGCGGGCCACGGCGAGTCAGAAGGGCCGTGAAGACTCAAACTTGGACCTTCACATTGAAGTGGGAAAAAACACTGCAAGAAAATTCCACGTTGCTGTCGGTCAGTACGTTGGTTTATGTGGACTGTTTACCGGTTTGATTTAACGGCCAAAGCACTGCTGTTAAATCAATGGTGTGTATTATTATTCAACTTATAGCACCTTGGAATTATGAAAATGATTTGCTTTGAATGGGATGTGAACTACCTGAATGATACTTTGTGTTTTATGTGCAGTCTCGTGTGACCAGACTTATGTAACCGACAAACAGAGCTCTTTATGCTCTTCAGACAGCGAATGGAACTCAGCCGGGAAAGGGTGGCTGCTGGGACCAGCAACCAGGAGGAAGGGTCACAATGGTGCCTGGGCGCTCAGTGCACCCAAAGCACAGGGACACGTTTGGACTCAGTCAAGGAGGCACCATTTAGGCTGAGCCCTGTGGACTGTGAAGTCACTCACGTGGTCAACAGAAAAAGGAGGAAACACACCAAAAGGTGGCTGGGGAGGGATTCGGGCAGACCTCCCTGGGGGCCTCAGAGAACCCTGGGATCTGATGCAGGCCACAGAGCCATCATGACTTGCAGGATTGGGGCTGAGGTAGGAGATGGGGAGAGGTCATCGATCTGTCACGCTTGTCAAGATGGTGGCTGTCAGACATGACAACTCCAGAGGGCCCTGCAGGACGCAAACAGCTGTCTGTCCCCTGCTGGCCTGGGGCTCGGTGGGCAGGGCCTTGTCTGTCTGCGCAGCACAGTCCCAGCCACTCTGAGAACTCTCCCCGCTCCCAGCTCTTCCGCCTGGGTCTGGCTGGGCCCTACAAAGCAGGACCTGCCCTGGGATCCCACAGAGACCCACTTGGGATCTGGGAGGGAAACATACTCACCAATTTTTTGTCCATTTTTGCTTTGATGTCTCTGGCGAGGGTGAAAAACGCCTGTGGAACACGCACGGTGTTAGGACCCTGGAGTGGCAGGACCCTGGGTCCTCGGCCACCCACGTGGAGTGGGTGTGGGCAGGAAATGGCCTTAAATGACTTTCCGGGCATGGGTCTCCCATTCGGCCCTCTGACACCTGCCCGTGGCAGTGGACTCAGCTGGCCTGTCCCGCCCCACCTCCTGTCCTTCCCTGGCTCGTCCTGCCCACCCGACTGCCCCAACCCGCCAACAGCGCTGTGAGGTGCGGCCACACTTGGTTGGCCAGAGAGGAAACTGAGGCTCGGAGATGCCAAGTGACCCGTCCATTAAGCACCCAGTGCTTAACTGACCAATCCAGAGGATCTGGAAGGAGTGTCCAGCTCTCCATCCCTGACAGCTCGGGCCATCTTGGCTGGGCCCTGCAGGAAGGGGGACTCTGACAGGCGGAAGAGGGGGCGCGAGGTAGGGAACGCGGCAAAGGCTCAGAAAAGGGAGTGGCCCAGGTGGCCCCTGGGTGGCAAACACCAGCCGGGGCCGGCGAGGTGCCCGGGCTACACCCTCCGGTCAGCGTGGGGTTTAGTAGGGTGTGATGTGGAAGGTCCATTTTGGAAACATTACCAGGACAGTGTCGTGCAGGGGAAACCGGGTCAGCCACAGGCTGGTGTCACCCGTGGAGAGAAGAGCGGGGACGGACGAGACCTGGTCCAAGCTCCCTACTCTGCCTGGACTTCTGACCAGGTCTGTCTGTGGGCAAGAGCGGGAACCCGGAGCTGGGCCTGGGCGCCCAGCTGCCTGGGATGTTCTCGGCCTCAGTTTCCTCACCTGCAAAACCACCTGTTCCCAGGGCTGCCCCGGAAGTGTCCCTCGGAGGACTGGCAGGCGGCCCAGACCTGAGGCTGGTCCCTCTGGCAGAGCCTACCTGGAGGACGCCAGCTCATCCCTTATCCCAGAAGGACAGGCCTCCCAGGCCCCGTGTCCCCAGCAGGGCCCAGGACTCACGTTCTCCACGTTGATGTTGGCCTTCGCACTGGTCTCCATGAACTTGATTCCGTAGTCGAGGGCCAGCTGCCAGGGAGGAAGGGACACATGTGTGCACGTCAGCCGCCAGGCGCCTGGAGCCGAGGGCCAGGCCGGCACTGCGGCGCAGCAGTGACAGGTTGGGGGGGGACGGGGCCTGCTGCGCCCAACCCGAGCTCCATCCCTGCAGAGCTTCCGCGTGTGGCCGCGGTGGGGGTGCGCAGAGGGCACGGGGCTCGCAGTGCGGCTGTACCTGAAGCCAGGCCCACACATGCTCACAAAGGTCGTGAGAACCATACCCGCCGAGCCCAGCCTCTCCGCCAGCGAGCACTTGGGGGCTCCGGGGCAGGGCAGGGACAGGGAGGCCCTCTGTGCAGGGAGCCCTAAGACCCCTCGGAGCCGCCACACCCACCTTTTCTCCCCGTTCCTTGGAAACTTGTCTTTTGTCGTTCACGTCACACTTGTTCCCGAGTATCATCTTTTCGACGTCTGCAGAGGCGTGCTGAGGGGAGAGGGGCAGAAAGGGGTGGTTAGGCTGGACGACACAGGCCAGGCACTTCTGCTCCCCACACGGTCCAGCCCCTGAAATCAGCGTGGTGGGGTCCGGACTGCCAGGAACAGCCAGGGCCAGAGGACAAGCTGAAGCTCAGAGAGGCTGAGCAGCCCGGCCCACGTCACACAGCCCACACCAGGGCTGGGCTTCTGGCAGAGGCCAGGGTTCTAGCTGCTCCCCTGACCAGGCAAACACTTCCCAGCTGTTGAGAGCAGCTTCCCCATGGGCTGTGCCAGTCGGGCCCCCGGGCCTGGGCTGCTGGCGGGGTCTGGCCTATGGAAGGTGAGCAAGGCTGAGATATTTACCCTCCAACCCTCTTCCCTTCCTCCCTCCCCAGTTCCTCTGCGGGAGGCCCCGGCTGCTGTCCTGGGACCTGCTTTGACCTTTCAACTCTCTCTCTTTGGGCTCTGGAAATGGGCTGTGCCTGAGGTGGCCGCAGGTCCTTGCCATCGCCAGCACTGGGGACTTCACCACCCCCCGTGTTGCCTTAGCTCTGCCCCAATCCCTGAAAGCGGCTCCTTCATCAAACCCTCCCACAGCCCCCAGAGGAGCGGATCTTGCTTCCTGAAGGGCGGGGACATGGGAAAGTACGGTCTTCTCCACCCGCTCAGGCCTGGTCTCAATGGAACCCACCGCACTGCGCCTGCGTGACTTCCCAGGAACCAGGAGACCCTCTCGCTCGCCGGCCAGGAACAGAGGACGCCCGCAGAGACCAGCGTGGCAGTCTCTCCTCCTCTCCACCCATTGAGACAGCTTCCCCGGCCGAGGGCAGCCGCAGCCCTCTGGGGTCCTTGGGGAGGTGGGCCCAGCGCAAGTGCCCATAATTGACAGGGCCAGTCTCTCGGCCTGGCCCGAGCGGTCCACGCACTCTAGGTGGACAGTCACGTGACCTTCTGCCGTGGCTTCATGGACGGGGAAAGTTCTCTGGCTGCCCCGCAGACCCAGAGCCCCACCCGGTTGGTTATCAGAAGCTGCAGGAGCCACAGTCCAGGAAAGCCCTGGGGGCGAGGTCGGCGCTCTGGGCCGCGGGAAGATGGAGATGCTGGCTTTGGGGTGGGGTGGGGCTGGCCTCCTGCTTCTTGCTGCCCCACGGTTCAAGGTCTGAACGTGGGTAGCAGCTCACGCCCTGCTCTGACATAGCTCAAAGTACAGTCGGACCTGCCTGCTCACCACGCTGGCCAAACACAAGGGTCGTGCTGGTGCTAGAACCTTCCCTCTCTGGACAGCACCACATGCTCACGGTGACCACGGGCTTGGCTATCCCTTTTCTTGTGACTGTGACATTGGCCAGCTGACAGCTCAGCTGGGGGAACAAATGGGCTGTCGGAGCTGTGGTCCCTGGGCTCGACTGCCTGGGTCTCAGTCCCTGCTCTCCTCTGTGCCTAACTGTGAGGCCAGTCACTTCTAGGTGCCTCTGGGCCTTCTCATCTGTAAACCAGGGGGCTCTGGGGAGAGGGCCGGGGAGAGGGTTGGTGGGAGGAGCCGGCAAGCCTCACCTCCTCAATGTTCCGAATCCAGTTCCGGATGTTGTCGAAGGACTTCTCGTTGGTGATGTCGTAGACCAGCATGATGCCCTGAGCGGGAAGGACAGAGACACAGGCTCTTGGAGAGTGAGTCCCAGCAGGACAGTGGAGATGCAGGACGTGGCACGGGGCCCATCGCCTGCCCCACAGCCAAGCCCACCGGCTGCCACCCTCCCTGCCAGCCAGCCCCCTCCTCGTCTCCAGGCTCTAGACCTGCCCCCTCGGCCACCGGCAACCCTTCTGCCTCACAGACCAGACCGTCCCACCCTAGCTTAGCAGCCTGGCTGGCTCCCCATGGCGGCAGGGTAAGTCCAGCTGACGAGCCCCAGTGGCCTGTGAGGTCCCGCGGCCTGCCATGCTCCCCTCACGCTGACCCTCCCCTGCAGCAGCCTCTCACTGTAGCTCCCCAGGCCCTGGTGGGGGAGTCCCACCATTCCCACTCTGCACATGGTGAGCGGCAGGGGGGTGGCCAGGCCCCTGTCTAGTGTCCCAGGAGAGAGTACATGGGAAGACGGGGCTCCGAACCCAGGCGGCCTGACCCCGACACACGTGCCTTCTAGGGAGCCCACCAGAGCGGGGCCTGGGCGGTGCTGAGGCCCTCTGGGCTCCCTAATTCAGAGGTCCCCACCCTTTTTGGCACCAGGGACTGGTCTTGTGGAAGACAATTTTTCCACGGACAGGGGCGTGGGGATGGCAAGAGATGGGGAGCGGCTGTAAATACAGAGGAAGCTTCACTCGCTCGCCCACCGCTCACCTCCTGCTGTGCTGCCCGGTCCTAACAGGCCCTGACCCAGTACCGGCCCTCGGCCCAGGGGTCCTGGCAGAGCCACAGAGCAGCCCCGCCTAAGCCCATGATCTCACCGTCACTGTGGAGAAGGGCAAATGTCTCCACATGACACAAGGGGAAACCAAGGCACAGGGACGTGACCTTTAAGATTCGAGCCCAGCTGAGCTAACCCTGCAAGAGGTGATGCCACCGCTCCTCTTGGGAACCTCCCTGGGCCCTCGTCAGCACCAAAAGCAATGTGGGGCCAACAAGTGACTTCGACGGTCACTTGCTGTTCTGCATGACCTTGAAGGGCACCCACGGGGGCCAGCCTGCACGCCACCGCAAGGCCCCCTTCGCGGCTGAGCACCCTTGGTGCCCAGGCACGTGGCCAGTGCACGCCCAGGCCCGGCTTGACCCATTCCTCTGCGCTACCTGTTCCAAGGGGCCGGCCCTGTGTCTGTGGCACCCCGGGGCATGCCGATGGCCTCTGGTGTTGGCCCAGTCATTTCTGTAGCTGCCAGACTTTGCAGAGTAAGACCAGAGGCCCGGTGGCGCTAGGTAGACAGGCGTGGGACAAAACCACGCAGGTGGGGCGAGAAAGCCACCCCACTCCTAAATCCCACGTGAACCCAGGGAAACGAATGTCCTTACTGATGGGAGGACCCAGAGGTTTCAGTGGCCCCAGCCAAGGTGGGCAGACCCTGTGAGTCAAGCACTGTCAGGGCCAGAGGGGCATGAGGGTCCTTCTGCCCCTTATCTAGGACTGGCTGCTCTGATGGCCCCGGGATCCCGCCACCACCAGCAAGTTGGCACCATGTGCCAACATTCCAAATTCCTGGATTTTGACCCATTGTGGGGGAGGGGGAGATGACGCAGGAGTTCAGAGGGCAGTGGGTACGGCTCTCTGGTAGGATCGAGCAGAAGTATCTGGAAAACACTGGCTCACCCTATTCCAGGCCCTCCCTGAAACTTCCCACAGGGCTGCAGTGACTATTTTCCGGGTCCCTGCCCCAGCACACCTCCACATATGTTTGGATGTCACGGGTCACCAGCCACGTAATGCTTCCCAAATTTGGGTCTTCTAGACCCAGCGTCTAGACCTCCAGGACGGAGATGCTGACGTGGCTGCAACCGTGGCCATGTTCTCTGCTCTGTCCCATGTGGCCGCTGCTGGCCACACGCAGCTCTGGGGCACACCCACCAAGCTGCTCTGACTGAGAGACTGGATTTTCAATTTTAATTGGTTTAAATTCAAACAGGGTTAGGCCGAGTCTAGGAGGACCGAAGGCTACAATCGTCTCCGTGCTGACTTAGGACGTGGGCGCTGGAGACAGCTGGGCCATTGACCCTCCGTGTGCACTTAAGTAGGGCAGGCAACGAGCCGAACCTCAGGCTCCCGGTACACGACAGGGCGGTGACAGTGGCACCTGCACTCAGGGGTGGGTTTATGGCCAAGACGCTACGAGACGATCCGGGCCACCACCTGGGCCCAGTGCCTCGGCAATCAGGACAGGGTGTTGGGCGGCAATTTCAGCCCAGAGAGGGCTGGGACCTACCCAAGGTCACACAGCTCTCTCCAGGGGCAGAAGCTCCCCTGGGACCCCAGGATCCTGAGGCCCCCGCCCCATCCCATCCTCCACCAGAGCACGGCCCGAGGTGAGAGGAAAATAAGTAAATTAATTTTGTAAGGAGCACTAAGGCATCTGTTATGTTTCAGATGGTGCGTGGGATGCTCTCAAGACTGAATGTCCCCAGTCACTGCTGCACCGCAGGCCTTTCCCGGGCGCCCGCTGCACACCCGGCAGGTTCCCAGGCACTGGCACGCGGCAGCGACCGCGACGTGGCACTGCCCTCACAGGGCTTGTGGTCTAGCGGAGGAAACAGCTGCCCGTTTCGTTAGACGGCGGGGTGTGCTAGGGAAAGGCTGGGGGCCAGGCGGTGCTGGGGAGGGGGAGGGACGGCCATTCATCCTTGGTGCAGCCTGGGACGTTGTCAAGTTCTCTGGTCCATTTCCTAAGAAGGGAGCTGGAGCTCAGAGGGCGACCCAGGGCCTTGGGCCAGGTCCGGGAGGTCCGCGTCCTACTCCCGCCATCTCCGCATGCCCTGGCCCCTCTGATGGCCCAGGGTTCCCACCACCGCCAGCAAGTTGGTACCACGTGCCCGACGTTCCAAATTCCTAGATTTTTACCTACTGTAGGGGAGGGGGAGTCAATTTGGGACTTCAGAGGGCAGTGGGTACAGCTCTCTACTAGGACAGACCAGAAGTATCTGGAAAACACTGGCTCACCCTGTTCCGGGCCCTCCTTGAAACGCCCGCAGGGCTCAATGACCATTTTCTGCAGCCCTGCCTGGGCACCTCTCCACACGTGCGTAAGCTCACGACGGGTCACCAGACACCTGATGCTCCCCACATTGGGGCCTTCTAGACCCAAGGGACTAGCATCTCCAGGATAGCGATGATGCAGCTTCAACAGTGACCACGGTCTCTGCTCTGTCCCGTCCAGCAGCTGCTGGTCTCACGCAGCACCGGGGGCACCAGAAACGCAGCTGCCCTCCAGCGCAGAACCCCGTCCCGTCCCCTGCCGCCTCTGCGTCTAGTTCGGGCCTGGCCCAGAGAAGGTGCTGGTAAATATTTGAGGGATGACAAACGAGTCTTCCTGTCACCCTGCCTCCAGCCTGGGCGACAGATATAACGGCCAACAGCCCAGGGCATGTCAGCTCCTGGAAGATCTTCAAGTTCTTGGTAGCGAATTCCAGAGAGACTGATGTGGGCCGCGTGAACGCGCCTAGATGTCGGGGCATGCCGGCTCCTACTTCGCTGACCTCACCTGGGAGAACCAGCTTCCTGCGTCTTCATTCCCCAGGAATTAAGTTTCCTCTTTATTTAAACCCTGCATTGTCTCTGCAGCCAGAAGGGGAGGCGTGTATGCGGGGCCCGGGGGCCGGGGAGCGGCGGCCTCTTCCTAAAACTAACTTGGGACCAAGGAGCCCCAAGGAGCCCGACCACACGCTCCATAGAAACATCCAGAATTAGGTATTGAACACAGTGACATTCATTTTGACTTAAAAAATAACAGAAACAAAAAAACCAATCCGTACCATTGCACCCCTGTAGTAGGCCGTTGTGATCGTCCGAAACCGTTCCTGACCGGCCGTGTCCCTAAATGTGAGGAGAAGAGAGATTAGCGACACCGAAGGCGACTGACTGTCCCCAGCAGGGCACAAAGAGCGTCCACACGGGGTGCCAGCCTTCTCACTGCAGAGATTCGTCCTCCTGCTGAGGCAGCACCTTCTTGTTTAGTTTTTTAAATCAATTGTATGTTGAAAGATTCAAAAAAATGTTTTCCTTTTTTTTTATTAACTGGGAGAGGCGGCACCTTCTAATCTCCCAATTATTACAGAGAAGGAAACTGTGGCTTGGAAGGGTTGGGGTCCTTTGGTGGCTTCTCGCTGGGGCTGTCGCAGAGCCACGACCAGACGCCTGGCCCGTGCGCCCCTCCCTTCTCGCACCTTTGCATCCAGGGAACTCTCCCTGGAGTTTCTGAGTCACAGAAGAGCCAGTCACGTGGTGGCACAGGACGCAGCCCTTGCTACTGGGAGGGGCTGGGACTCAGGAAGCCCGTTCACGCTCGCCATCTTGGTTTGGGTGACAGGGAAAGTCCTTCCTCCCCTGTACGACGGGGGAAGCAGTGCCCGTCACCCAGGAGGAGACGCCTGAAGCTAGCTCCTGGCACGGAGGATACTCCGTGTTTGGTTTAAAGGTGACCTAACTGAGGGGTGGCAGGGCAAGACAGGGCAAGACCCACATCTTCTGTCCCTGAGCCCACGGCCCTGCACACCCCAGGAGGGCCCCATATTGTCTGGACTGTGCAGAAATGCCTCGCTTGGTGCTAAGTTGACTTTCTGACGCCAGCGCCAGGTGACATTAGTGGTTATGAACAGTCATTTTAATCTTAACCAAGGTCTTAGCTGTCTTAGGAGAGTTTGAGTCACTGACCCACCAAGATTGCTAAGAGCAGAAGCAGGAAGACAGGAGGAAAGTGCACCTTCTGCTGGCTGGTACAGCGTCACTTTGGACTTGGGAACAAAGGCTGCTTTGGTGCCAACGTGCTGGAAGTGGCCAGAGACTGACTGACTACTAACATCTGCAGGATTGACAGGTGGTGCAGCTCGCCCAGATTTCGGCTGAGAAGTCAGATTAAGAGACCAACATCACCTGGAGGTGAGGGTACGAACGAGACCCCCAACAGCACTGGCAGCGCAGGGGTGACGGCTCACGCCCTGAGACTCGAGGGACAGCGACATGCCACAGGGAGGGCGGCTTCGTGGCCCCTCTCGTGGCACTCCGCTCCCACCCGGAGGGACTTGCCTGGGACGGGGACTGCGGCACACACTTAGATATGTCTTTTCTGTATTGCGCTCGGGGCTAGCGATTCTACGCAAGTGGATTCCACCATACCTGAACCCCTAAATTCAGTGCCCCACGCCATGGGCTGCAGACCAGAGTCAGCGCCAGCGATGGGGACTTGGGAATCTCACCACTTCCCTCATTTTACGTGGCAGGAGAAGTCACTGTCAGGTCTGAGGAATGGAAACAGGTCTCGCCATTGGGCCTCAGCCTAACTTTGCTTCGCGGCTTTCAGGTCTGCATGCCAGGAAGTGAGGCCTGACCTTCCCCAGAAGAGAAAAGGGGAAGCGATGTCAGACCTTCGTGCTGCTCGGTGGGCTGACGGGCTCAAGAGGAAACTCCCTGCCGGGGCAGCTCACCGTCCCCGCAGCCTTCGCCGCCATCTGGCACGGAAGGCTCTCTCCAAGTTCAACGGAAGCAGCCCACTCTGCAGCCCAGACCCAGGCTTTGCCCACGCTGGACTGCTCGGCTAACTGGGCCTGGGCACTCTGTCCCCAGCAGGTGGTGACACAGACCCTCCACTCCCGCAGGGCTGGGTGAGAAACTCGAGGAGCTTCTGAAGACAGCCCCATGTGTCAGGGCTGGGCTCCCGGCGCGAAGTGCTCACCACGTGAAGGGCGTGACAGAGAGCGACGACTCTTACCATATCTGTAGTTTAATTCTCTTGCCATCGAGCTCTATGGTCCTAATTTTAAAGTCAATTCCTGAAAGAAAAGAAAAAAAGGCGTATCACGGTCAGCCCGCTTCCCGAGCTGTGTCTGAGTTGGGCGCTGCCAACCTGTGCAGGTGACAGCCGCTGTGGCTCGTGGGGCACCTGCCTGGTGCCGGGCATGTGGGATCTCGGAATCTGGAAGCCTCTGGAGATACTGTGCCCTCTCCTAGAAGGCGAACCTGAGGCTCCAAGGGCTGACAGGAGCTGCCTGGAGCCAAGCTGGCAAGCGGCAGGGCTGGGGGCAAACCCAGGTGGGTGCAGGAGGCAAAGCCTTGCTCTTGTCCCCTACTGCTGCCAGCTGAACCTGCCTCTCTGCCCTGGGTAGTTGTACAGAGGGGGCCTTGCCAGAGTCCTTTGCAGGCCCAAGTCCCACTTCCCTCCAGCCTGCAGCTGCCCCTCCCTCGCCAGCATGCGGGGCCCTGGATCCCACAATGCACTGATGCGTGGGGGCCACACCATCGCCTAGCCTGGGCTTTTGCAAACGTTCTCTGCGGGTGGCCTGTGCCCCAGTGGCCCATCAGCTGGGCAAACTTCTCCTCCTTAAGGCTCGCCCAAAGGTCCCCTCCCAGGAAGCCTTCCTGACCCCATCCTCCTTCTCTTCCACTCCCCACTTTCATCCCTTCTCCCAAGGGTGACCTCAAAGTGACCACACTGCTCCCCAGGCTCCTGAAGTTCCCCCTCGGTCCCTTCCCCTGCGTTCAAAAACACAGCCTAACCATGTCACGAAGCTAACCCATGCTCCCAACCTTCCCGCCTGTCCACCAACAGATCCACAACCACCTTATGAATGAACAATCTAAATGTGTGTATCTATACGACGGAATATCACGCAGCTGTAAAACGGAACAGCGGAACACTGACCCCTGCTACAACACAAAAGAACCTCAAAACCACGACGCCGAGTGAGAGAGTCCAGACACAAAAGGCCACGTAACATACGATCCCATTGACACGGAATGTCCAGAGCCGGCAAATCCAGAAACAGAGCAGACTCGTGGCTGTCAGGGCGGGGGCGGAACAGTGCGGAGACTGGGAGGGTTTGCTGAGGGTACGGGCTTTCTTTTTGGCATAATGAAAATGTCCTAAACCTGTGGTGACAGATGCGCACCTCTGTGAATGCACCAAAAGTCACTGAACCGTACACTTCAATGGGTGGATCATCCGGTACGTGAATTACACATATCTCAATAAAGCTGCTCAAAAAAAAAAAAAGCACCTTCCAGTGGCTTCCCCGCCCCCCCTCTTTCCTCCAGAAAAAAGTGAAAGCGGCTGTCTGTGTGCACCAAGGTCCCGCCTAACCTGGTCACTTCTCAGCACCCCGGCTCATGACCTTCTCTCTCTGGCCACACCTGGGCCATGCTGTCTACATGGCTGTTTCTTTTTTTTTAATCTTTACTGTTTAGTGCATGTATTTCAGCCTGGACGTGGCTGTTTCTTAAACTTCCCAAGAATGCTCCTGCCTCAGGGCTTTGACATGTTCTCTTCCCTCTTCTGGAATGTTCTTTCCCTCCAAAGCCACCTGGCTCTCCACCACTTTGCTCAGGCCCCCTTTCAAATCCCGTCCTCAGAGTAGCCTTGAAACAGCCAAACCCAGCCTTTGCCTCCGGGAGTTTGGTCTAAATCTCTACCTCGGAAGACTTTGAGGCCCGGGCATGGCTTAACCTCCCTGAACTCACGATGGGGGAGCTAATTCCATCCCACCGGCCTCAGCACTGGCGTTGCGCCCTTTAAAACGCAAGCTCCGTGGAGGCGAGGACTCCATCCGTCTCGCTCGCTGCTGTTACTTCCAGGGATGAAACATTCGGCAGGGGCCGAATACGGATTTGCTAGGAGCCGACTGCCCAAGGTGTGTCCTACGCACCCCTGGACTCCAGGTTACATTTCTGTCCCCCTCTGATTCGCCCGAGTCATCTCTGCAGCCCCCGCACCCAGGCGGATGCCTGGCACACCGAAGGGACTGGCTGGACGAAAAAACTGAAGCGCAACAGGGCCTTTGTGGTGCCGCACGGTTTACGAAGCGCTTCCACAAACACCATCCATCTCACCGAAGGCATGAATGGGCCCCTGAGAAGGCAGCGGGGGCCGTGCCAGGCTGGCGAGAACCGATTCCAGGGAGACACGGCCAAGTTTACACCACAAATGATTGATGGAGCTTATGAGAACAGGCTTTGGCAAAATGTAACCTGGGCAGAAAATGAACAGCCACTCGATCCTTGATCTATAAAGAAAGCCCAGGGGTGCAGTCGGTGCCAATACAGAATTGCCTTTAGGGATTAAGTTGTATTTCGGGACTGAGCAGTCTGGTGTTGACTCTTCCTGAAAACCTTCCCCACTTCTTCTCACAGAGGTGCAGGGACGCACAAAATCAAGCAGTGCCCCGTTCAGTCGCCCGAGCCCCACAGCGTTACTCTGTCCTGGATTTTATTAACAAGTCAAGTTGAACTAGGAAGTGCAAACTTTACGAGGCCTCGGAATTATGAGGCCATAACTTCAAGGTCATGGTGAATTAAACTTTCCTAGGATACAAATGTGAGGAGCAGAATATTGGGGTCGGAGGGAGGGATCCTAGGTTCAAGTGCCACCTCCACCTCGATAGGCAACCCTGACCAACTTCCATCCTAATCTGCAAGTAGAAGAGGGCAGCCTCCTCGGAGCCCCAGAGTGCTAGACTGGGTTCTCTGGTCAAGAATTAAAAACTGGCCGGGAGCAGTGGCTCACACCTGTAATTCTAGCACTTTGGGAGGATAAGGTGGGAGGATCACTTGAGGCCAGGAGTTCGAGATCAGCCTGGACAACTTAGTAAGACCCCTGTCTCTACAAAAAATAAAAAAAAAATTAGCCAGGTGTGATGGCACATGCCTATAGTCTCAGCTACTCAGGAGGATGAGGCAGGAGGATTGCTTGTTGCTTGAGCCCAGATGTTCGAGGTTGCAGTGAGCTATGATGACACCACTGCATTCCAGCCTGGGCAACAGAGTGAGACCTTGTCTCAAAAAAAAACAAAAAAACAAAAAAAGAATTAAAAACCATCCCACACCCCAGTCCAGCCTGGGCCAAGTGAGACCTTGTCTCTTAAAAATAAAAACAAAAAAACAGAAGAACAAAAAAACCCAATCCCTGTATTGATCTCACCTGTGTTAGTGCTAGGGTTGGGGAGAGGTGGTGAGGCAGGGAAACTGAGGTCTGGGGGCTGAGCCATGGCATGCCTGGAGTTAACACCACTTCCTTATTGCCGGGGACTCAAGAGTTAGTCCAAAGTTTGATCTTGGAGTGGGGGAGGGGGAAGAATTCAGAAGCACTTGTCTCCAGGGGTGGGATGCTGTTCTACTTCATTGATATGGCCTCTGGCAGTGGTGACAACCTTTAGTCATTGGATAGTTCTGACCCTCAACCACCCGGGGCACTGGCCAAGGCAGAGAGTGTTTCTTGTATTCTGAAGAAACGGGGCACAGAGAGGGGCAGCTCTTGTTCAAAGGCAAACAGCAACTGGAAACCAAGTGTGAAATTTCTAGTCCAATTCTCTCCAGGTGAGGAATATAGCTGTTTTACAAAGTGCAGTCCCAGAAGAGGGCAAGGAGAGAATTAGCATGCCCTGGTGGGGTTCAGAGAGATAACACAATTTGGTTGAAGTTATTACACAGTAAAGCAAAGCCCATTCCCTAGGTTTTCTAGATTTGGAATAAACTCCTGGGCTTGCTGACTGTTCTGCCATGTCCCTCGTCCTGAGCAGGGCTACACACCTCACAGGCCACTCTGTTTGATCCGTGACTCTCAGGTCAAACCTTTTCATTGTGGGCAATGACTGTTTTTGTGGCGCAGAGAGAATTCAGCTCCGCTTCTGCGGACGTCACAATTGAGATGCAACAAGCCAGTTCTGTTCAACCACAATGTGGGCTGGCCCTGTGGGAAAGGCTGCTCTGAAGTGACAGCCGGTGTCCTGGGCCCTGCGATAGGGAAGTCAAGGATGTCTGTGGCAGTGGCCGATTCTAGTTTCTCACTGAGGCTTTTTATCTTGTATCTCCTCGGGCCTGACAAGTCCCAGGGCGGGCAGCTGTCACTCGCCATTGCTGACACCCTTGAGCAGGATGGAAGGCGGGCAGGAAAAGGCTCCTGACTCCTTCTCATCATTCCTTCCCAAAGGAAAATACACTCATGGGGCAAACAGGGTCAGGGAGAGAGGCTCAATCTCTGAATATTCCAGAGCAAAGAGCAGGAGAGGTGTGAGTTAGAGTCCTGGCTCTGAGGTGGATCAGCTGTGCTTGTCCTGGGGGGTATACGGTGGCATCTCTCTGGATAGCTGAGCCTTGAGTTTTGGGCTCAGACACACCTGGGTTCAAATCCCATCCTCACCACCTGCAGACTGCAAGACCTTGGGCAAGTTCCACGCCCTTCCTGAGCCTCAAATTCCGCATCTGTGAGAAAAGCTCACAACAGCACCTAATACAGAAGACTGGAGAGTGTGATCATGCACACAAAGCAGCTGGCATATAGTAAATGCTCAATAAAGTCAGATGTTACCGTCTTTTTCCCATAGCCAATTCTTCATGACTCAGTTTTCATTTCTGTAAGACCGGAACTCCCAAAGAACTGCTTCGAGGACAGAACGAGATGACAGGTGCAAAGACTCCAGCCCAGGACATATGCTCCCTAACGAGCGGGCTGAGAGTCAGAGCCTCAGTCTCCCTATCTGCAAAATGGGCACTTGGTCCTCCCCTCCCCACGAGCCGGGAACTCCCGGACGGCGGTGGAGACGGCTGTTCCTCTCCTCTCAGGACCCCTCGACCGTCTCACATCCCCTGGCCCGTCCAGCCCGGTCAATCCCTCAGCTCCAGCCCCTCAGGGGCGCGCCCTGCCCGGGCCTCCCGCGCCCCCGGCCGCTCCCCAGCCCCGCTACCTATGGTGGAGATGAAAGTGGAGTTGAAGGCGTCCTCGGAGAAGCGGAACAGGACACAGGTCTTCCCCACCCCCGAGTCCCCGATCAGCAGCAGCTTGAACAGGTAATCGTAGGTCTTCGCCATATTACACTCTCTCCCCGACGGGAAGTGCGGCCAGCGCCTCGCCACTGGCCACTGGCCCCGTCTATCAGCGCCGAGCCCGCCCCCTATTGGCTCCCGGCCCGCCGCGCGTCACCGTGGCCGACGCCCGCCCCCGCGCCCCGCCCGTCGCTGGGAGACCTGGGGAAGGGGCGAGCGGGCCGCGGAGCAGGAAGCAGCCCGAGCGTGCCGCCCATTGGCCGGCGCTCGGGAGAGAGAGGGCTGTGATTGGCCAGAGGTGAAGAGTCGAGGGGCTTCAAATGGACACGGAGCGGGGGCGTGGCATTCCATGTCCCCGCCTTCTTCCCCCGACTCTGGGGCGGCCGCGCCCCGCCCCTCGATGGGAGAGGGAGGGCAGGGAGCGCCGCCAACGGCTCCGCGCGCCGGCAGCCTGGGGGCGGGGCCTGGGGTGCGTGCGCACGCACGCGGGGAAGGCCGTTACGTGCCAGCAGAGGGCGCACGCGCATTGGGGGGTGGTGGGTGTGTCTCTGGGTCCCGCCCTCACGGCTCGCGCAGCCGCAGTGGGCGCCGAGGCGAGCGCGGGAAGGCACTGTGATGCTGGCCGCATGTGGGGCGTGGTGTGGAGAGCTCCACCGCGGGCCAACGGGAGCCGCAGAAGGAAAGAGAAAAAAGGCGCTGGTCATAATCGAAAAGTGGCCCCTGGAGACGTGGCCCAGGGTCTCGGCGCTGGCCAAGGGGCCCATTAGAGACACCCAAGGCCTCTGCCACGCCTGCGGCTTCACCGCCGCAAGTCGCGCCCGGAGGCGCGCGGGACTCCCGGGGACCCGCCCTCGGGCCTAATTAGAGGTTGTCCGGGCCCCTTTCTGTCCCTCGCCCAGCCGGTCCTCTGAGGCGGCACCCGCCGAGGGAGTTAGCAGGTGATAATTCTAGGTAATATTTAGGAGCGTTTGGTTCTGTGCCTGGCAGTGCTCTTAACCCGTTATAAAAAATACAAAATAATTTAATCCCCACACCAACCCAGAGAGGTAGGTATTATTGGGTTTTTTTCTCCCGTTTTATGGTGAGAAAACTGAAGCCAGAGGAGGCGAAGTGACTTTCCCTGGCTCCAGCGTGGAAAGCTGGAATTTGAACTCAGACCGCCAAGCCTCAGAAGCCAAGACCGGGTCGCTGGAGCGTGCTGCTTACGGCACGCGGGGACCTCAGAGAGGCCGCGGGACCTGCCTAAGGATCTCTGCAAAGATGGTACCGGCCTCTCCTTCCTCCCTGCCACTGCAGCTCATGCTTTCCTAATCTAGCTCCGGCTAAGAGAAGCTTCAGCCGGAGCCATTGACCACTTTGGAGGCCTCGGCCCCTGTGGCATTTGATACTCTTGACCACCTTCTCAGGGTATTCTCTTTGTTTCTTGGTACTTTCCCCGTTTTATTTGTCTGTTTCTTCTGGCACCTCCGCCTCCCCTTCTCTGGGTGCTGCTTCTCAGATTCCATTGCAGTCTTCTTTTGGGGTCTCTGTCCCTTTGATGTTGGTGTTCTTCATGGTTCAGTCTCTTTTCACTTTCTGGGTGATCTCATTCATTCCCGTGGTTCTGACATCTCCACCCTGATGATTCTTAAGTTTTTTATCCATAGCTCAGCCTTCCCTCCACGTTCAACTGCTTTCTGGACATCTACCTTTGGATTTGTCAAAGATTATTCAGACTCAGTATGTCCACAACTGAACTCATCTTCTACTCAGACTGGTTTGTCTTGGGTTACCTCCTGAGTTGAACCGAAGTCATCTTTGACACCTTTCCTACATCTCTCACATCCTGGTTCTTAAGGGGGTTCTAAGTTGCTCTTTCATTTTCATGGCCACAGTCAGAGATCACATTTCTCCACTGGCCATTTTCTCTTACCCAGATCCACTCTGCAGTGGCTATTAGCTATTAGATGAGTATACTTATCTAATATCCATCTGTGGTCTCTTGGAAGGAAAAAGTCCAAAACCTTTCCTTAGCCTATATCCCTCACAGTCTGGTCCTAACCTCACCCTGTGTTCCACCCACGCTTCATGGGATTGGGAACACCCAAGAGCTGGGACAGGTCAATTTAATATTCAGCACTTCTTAAGTGCTGAGCCACAAGGATGACTAAAACAGTATCCTGAAATTAGATTACAACCCAAGGGGATGGGGAGGAGGGAGAAGACAGACACACGAAGGAGTAACTTCAATTTAGTAAGGGTAGGGCACTTAGAGGAGGGAATTACACTTGATTGATTGGCACCCCCTGTACCTACCATCTAAACAAGCTAACAGTGTCAGCTAAACGTCGAATTGATAGGAAGGAAATGTTTTAATCATACTGGATAACAAAATATAGTTTGCAGACTGCATCGATGTTTTATTGATTGGTTGATTGTATTTTAATGAGACAGGGTCTTGCTCTGTCACTCAGGTTGGAGTGCAGTGGCGCGGTCATAGTTTGCTGTAGCCTTGACCTCCTGGGCTCAGGTGATCCTCCCACCTTAGCCTCCTGAGTAGCTGGGACTACGGATGTGTGCCACCACGCCCAGCTTTTTCTTTTTTTATTATTTATTTTTTAAGATTTTTAGAGACAGGTCTCCTTATTTTGCCCAGGCTGGTCTCTAACTCCGGACCTCAAGGGATCCTCTCACCTTAGCTACCTGAGTAGCTGGGAGGGACTGTATGTGCCTGGCTGCATTAACATTTTAAAGGATTTCTTCTTTTTCTGATTCCCTGCCTCCCCTCCCTAGCATAAAATCTTGGGCAAACTATCAAAGCAATTCAGGTAGTGAAACGGTAGCGGTCTTTTGACACTGTTCTCTCAGTTCCCTGTCATCTGGTCAGCTAAGTTTTAAGATTACTTTCTGCAGATCTCTTCTTCCTTCTTACTCTATGGCAATCACTATCTTGGATTGAAACATTTTCCGAACTTGCCTTCCTGTCTGTAGTCTACCCCCACTCTAGTCCTTCCTGAAAATGAATGCTAAGTGGATTTTCCTAATGTATTGCTTTGATTCATTTACTCCAGTCTTGAGTGGCTCTCCACTCCTGACCAAGTGAAGTTCAGACTCTCATCAGCGTGGAACCAGCCTACTTTCCAGCTTTCCTACTCTGCTTTGCATTATATGTGCAACACATAGAAAGCCTTACTCACCCAGGCAGGCCTTGTGCTTTCCTAACTCAGGCAACAGAGATCACCTGCCCCGCACCTCCCTCATCTATTAAAATCCTACTCACTCTTCACAGCCTGGCTCAGGCAGGACTGGGGATGACAAAGGACTGGGGCTTTTGAGTTACTGAGGTCAAGTGCTCTCATCTGTAACATGGAGAGCGTAATCCTTATATTACTGTAAAGTCATGGTGCAAAGCAAATAAATAACACTTGCGAAGTTCTTGGCACAGTTATCTTCCCTTTCCATCCCATTAACATTTGTTGAACCAAAATGCTTTGTATGTCCCCATGCATTCTAAAATTCACGCAAATTGTAGTTTATGTAAAAATTTATTTGACCAAAATGTAGAAAAAGTGATACTATTACATATGATACAGTTGCAAGAATCTAAAGAGAAGTGTGAATTTCATTCAACTGCACAATTTGCTAGTGTATCTCCTGGGTAGTGTGATGCTTAATAAATAGGAGTGAGGGGCAGGGAACTCAGATAAGCTAGAAGCAGGGTGATTTTCAGATTTGTAAACTTGATTCGGCCCCCACACTTGGGGAATGTGGAATGTTTCAGCTCTGAGATGTTAACTGAGAAAACAAATATAACAAAGCCAAAATGTGCAGCCCTGTCTACAAAGTACTCCATATCCAGTTTAATCAGGAGTTTCTTGGTCTTTTATTAACTTGGTCCTGAAGAAGGAATTAAAGTCCTAGATAAGTAATTCTTCAATTCGCCATTCTCTGAAGTATGGGAATGAAGTCGGGCCAATTTTTTTTATCTCTGCTCTGCTGCCAGAGAAGCCCGTTCTGCTAATAGAAAAAAACTTGATCAATAAACTGAGCAGTTTATTGATAGCAGGCAGTCTTTTTGATATAGCTGACCTGAATAGGACTGAGCTCTCCCGTATTCCTGCTGAGTGAATGGCATTATATCTGAGCAGAAAAACATGGGTCATTATTGGACCAAGACACTTGGTCCTCAGAGAACAATGTCAGAATGAAAGGAATACGGAGGAAAACCTAACATCAAGGGTCTAACCAGAAAATATTTGGGTAATTATTGCAACCATTTCCCAAGCATTCTCATACTTACTACTCAAGAGGATGTTTGTTCTGCACAGTAGAGTGTGGAGAAGGGCCAGTATGACTAGGTTAATCTACTCGTGGTTTATGACTTCCCACAATGGCACTCCCCCTGCCTTTTATTTGCTCTGGATGGAAAATCCCCACCCGTGTGATACTCCTTAGTCTCCTGTAGTCTGACCAGTGGTGACCCAGAGGGTTCTATTCTTCAGCATTTTAATTTGGTCTATGACTAGATATTGGAAGCTGTGTTTGTGAAAGTGTGGGGTTGTCTATTCTCCCAGGAACCAAATGCCCTCAGTCTTGAGAGAGTATGCTCAATGTGAAATACCCTGCCTACCTTAGGAATAAATGCAACTTAAGGAAAAAAAAAAAAAAGATCTGAAAAAGCTGGTGCCATTTGGAAAAAGGAAGGAATTAGATTTAACTGGTGCTCAAAGCTTCTCTGATACAAAATATTTGGTCATAATTTGCTTGACATTTCCAGCAAAGCGAAGATGCAATAACAAAAGAAACTTCTTACAAGAGAAGAGAAAGACATGGAGCTCTGGAGTTCTGTTGGAGTGAGACTCTTCTGTTTGGTTATATACAGTTAAGTTCATTTAGCGTCTGATCCAGTGTCTGATGTAAGCCCACGTTCTCTTCTTTGGCCTGGGCAAGTTTTTCTGGTGAGGATTAAGAGTGGGAGGAAAATACATTAATAAGCATCTTTGTGAAAAGAAAAATAGAAAAGGTTTCTAAACCTCAAGCTGCCAGAGTGAAAGTCACAGCAGAGAAAATACTTTGTATTTTAATTATAGCACAACACCATGGACCAACAGGGACCAAGCACCAAATTTGGGAGTCGGGGTTGTAAGATAAAATACAGGATGCCCAGTTAAACTGAATTTTAGATAAACCCCAAATAATATTTTAGTATAAGTATATCCCAAATGTTGCAATGAGATATACTTATGCCAAAAATTTATTCATTGCCTATCTGAAATTCAAATTTAACTCGGTGTCCTGTATTTTCATTTGCTAAATCTGGCAACCCTAGAGTCAGAATACCCGAATTTAAGTCCCAGTTGTACCCAAGTAAGCCATTTAACCTTTCTAGGACTCAGTTTTACCATCTGTCAAATGGGGATAATATAATACCAATGTGTGCTGTGGGGGTTATTATGAGGAATAAATGAGAAATGTTTCAGAGCCTATGACTTGCTACACAAACATAAGATTTTAGTCCTAGATATGGGTGACTTAATACATTATCCCCCTAGTCCCAGTTTATTAGACCCTGAGCCTTTGGTAGGAAAATGCAATCCTATAACACATCTTTCCTTTGGAGCTTCTGGGAATGGTTGTTTAAATTCTGAGCATATTGGTGTTACTGTGTCTGTGTATCCACAGCAATGAGGTCAAACCCCAGGTAAAAGCAACATGACTGAAATTTAAGCCAGACTGTAGGCACGTTATTAAGCCATTGAGCTGATGAAACAAAAAAAAAAGAAAAGAAAAAGAAGCTATTTAGAGCTATGCGTGACAGCACGAGAGAGAACTGGTTTACAGTAAGTGACGGCCGGTAAGGGATAAGGCCAAAACTTATTAAAATACCAGAGGGAAGCAAAATGCCTCATAAAATGTGATATGATCAGCCTGGAAATTTTCAGGAAGAAAAAAATGACTGCAGAAGATGGCAGCCTTTCTGCTGCAACGACTGAAACTTTCATTTGAGGAGGCACTTAAAAAAGAGATCAAGCGACTATGATCCATCAGAAACAGAATAGTGACCTGGGCCTGTCCAGTCTGGGGGAATAAATGTTAACTGAATACTGAATGTATGAGCCAATGTCTCCATCATCTCATTTAAGCCTCACAACAACTGAGGTATCACCTCTATTTTGCAGGAAAGCTAAGCAGCTTGTTCAGGGTTGCACAGCTAAAGTAGAGCTAGGATTCACACCCTGGTCTCTCGACTATGAATCCTGACCTCACTTTACCTTATCACCTGGATTTTTTGGCATCTATTTTGTTACTAGGTCTGAGATAAAATTACTTTCCCTTGGATATACAGGACCTGCACACCAGGGAGTGAGAATCTTGGGGACCGTCTTAGAATTCTGCCTACCACAATTTCCTTAATGAATGGAATAAATGGAAAACACATTGGCCTGGAAGTCAGAGGAATTGAAATCTAGTTGCTAGCTAGATGTCTGACTTTTGGAAAATCTCTTGACTTCTCTGAACAACTTTTTTCTTTCCATCTGTGTAGTTTGATAAATCAAGCCTTATGATTCAGTATGTGTAGTATGATAATCGAGCCTTATGATTCAGTATTAAAGATCAGTCTGCGTTTTAAAATAGTTAGGAGAATATGTTACTTTATGTATCTTAAATAAAATGAATCTTTAAAAAAATTACTTTCCCTTAATCGTCCTTGAGAATTGTCATGAGGCTCACAGACTATCAACAGGTAAAAGTCGAACTCCATAGCATTAATGTCTGAAATTCCACTTAGGTGCTTAGTTAGGTAGAATGACAGGATAGGCAGGCTGCATAGTCATTCCAAAGGGTGGAGGCTACAAATGTCCGGAAGAATCCCGGGAACAGATACAAAGAGAAAGCAAACAAAAAATAGCCCCCTACACAGTCTGTGACCTCTCCAAGGGCATACGTAAGGCAATGTGTGAGGGGCATGGTTTTTACAAAAGTTGAGAAAGGGTGGCTCTTAGGAACAGGAAGAGGCTGGGCTGGAAAGGTGCAGGTAGTTTAGGGGACGTGCATTTTGGAGCAATGAACATCAAGAACAATTGAGACAGAGCTTCCCACCTGAATAAAAAAATTACAGGATGAGGAATAACAAGCTATAGTGACCAAAAATTGGTGATCTAGTTGGTGATTTTTGTGCCAATTCCAGGTTCGAGGGGTGGTTTGGAAGGTGTAGCTTAGAGATCTAAATGTCCGTGTTTCCAGGATAATTTGAGGTGGTGGTGGGATGCAGGGGAGGACTGGATAGACTATTTCAAATTTGGATTTTCTTGGAAAAATCCGTGTTTTTGATCACCAAAAGTATGACCTTTTAATACCCACAGGCCGATCCCATGAGTTATTACGAAACTAAAGCAGGGTTCCTGGTTATAGTTAACTGAGGTATGGAGACGATGTCAGCATCTCAGGCAGCGTGGTTTGGAACTCAGTAAAGAGTCACCCCACTTCTTTTGTCTGACACCACGGCAGTTTCTACTCCCTTTCCCTGTCAATGGGATGTTCTTTAATTCCTGGTACAGTCAGTTTCCTGAGGGCTGGGTGCGAAGGTGAACTTCCTCCCAGGACGGGGCGCTGGATGAATGTTCCATGAACGATGAAGACGTGGGAAACCCCAGCCACCATTCCCAGAGCGTAACACAGAGAGCAAACGAGAAAAGGAAGAAGGAGGAGACGAAAATGCCACTGCCGCTGTTTGAATTCGTAGCTCAAACCCCATTCAAGGGTAGCCTCATTTTAGACACAGGCTTGCTGGTCTTTGCAAGTGCTGCTGAGTCGTAAGCTGCGCAGAGGTTGTTGGTAGGGATGAGCCTCCATTCAGACAGTTTCTAATTAAGGAAAAACGCCTGGCACGCAGACGCAGTGAGCTGACGCCCATTCGAGAGCGCGTGCCAAGCTGCCTTTTGTTTTTGCCTCTTCAGAAAAGAATCACGTCGGCATAACTTTCTTTTCTGTAATGAGCGCTTCATCTGTGAGCGAGAGAAGGCTAACCGGCCACTTTTTGTTCCAGCCACGGTCAAGGGCACCGACAGCTACGACTCAAAGGCGGCAAGTGGAGAAAATGAAAATGAGAGGGCATGAAGATGAGGACTGCCTATCTTTATTGCGGCCACAGAGTCACAGACACATCGGAAGGCTCGAAACACCAAACCAGGAGGCAGGCAACTGGAGCTCCTAGAAGCCCGGAGTGTGGGCAGCACAGTGAGAAGGCAGGCGGCAGTACTGCCAGGACAGAGGGCGGCGCCCCACCGCCCCTCAGAGAGAGGTCATGTCGTTGAGAGCATGGTCCAGCTCCTCGCTGACAGCTTTGTACTTGAGCTTCTGAGCATACAACTCATCTAGAGGGCGGAGGTCCCCAGGGAGAGAGTTTGGAAGAAGAGGTACAGGGGACAGAACACGAGGGTCAGAATGGAGTGTCACACATGAGCAACGAAAGGAAAGAAAAAAAAAGTGAGAAACAAAGCATGAGCTAGGAGAAAGCTGTCTTGTGTGTAAAACAAATGAAAAAAACCAAGAGAGCTCTGGAGTGGTTTCTGAGTGGTCTGCGTTTCTGCAGGGGATTAGCCGTGATGAACCTTCAGAAGAGCAGTGACTGGAAAAGGACTGAGCTCCCCCCACCAGCCCCCACCCCCAGGTTATTTCTGATTTCCAATGATGTCACCCAGTGCAAAGGTTACACTTTGGAATGGGGCATTTCTCCTTATATGGAAACCTCACTTCCCAAAGCAAACACTGGGGCACGTGGGGCTGAAGAGTGAGTTTTTGCACCCTTGGGCGGGGGCGGGGCAGGGCGGGACAGGCAGTTTGGGAGATTTCATGTGAACCTCAAGATCTGGAATTTCCGGGCTATAGCATGAAGAACACGGGACAGAATTTTTAAAATTGGACCTCTCCAAGGAATGCACCAGGCTTGCAAACCGGGGTCTTTGTTCTTTGTATTTCCGTTTTCTCATCTTGTGATAAGCTTTGAGCTCTCTGGGAGAAAGCTTCTGTAAAAATGTAAGGCATTTAAAAAAAATGCAAGGCATCTCCCAGAAATGAGCAAACTGAAGGAAATTCTGAAGACTTTTTTGAGTCAGAGAGAGCCGTGTTGTGTTTGGGTCTCTGTGCTCACACGTGCAGCTAATTAAGCGGAGCTCGTACCTCCTGGAAATGGCAACTCAAGCCTGAGTTTGGTTTGCACCGTCCCATTCCAGTGCTCCGGATGTGACGTCACTCTCCTAAGGCGAACAAACCCGGCTCAACCCCGCCACAGACATCCCCGGCTGTCGTTTGTGGACCTGTCACAGAGGGAGGGGACCCGCAAAGATATTTAGATGGTGATTTCATACCTTCCAGGTCATCGATTGTCTTTTCCAGTTTTGCAACCGTCCTCTCTGCAAATTCAGCACGGGTCTCAGCCTAGAGAGGAAGAAAGGAGTCGCCGTCACCGTTTCGCCGCCAGCCCCAGGAGGAGCCCGCAGTTAGGTAGGCGCGACCACACTCACCTCTTTCAGTTTATCAGAAAGAAGTTTAATTTCTTCTTCATATTTGTCCTCCTTTTCAGAATACTGTGGGAGAAACCAAAACATTGCTTTAAGAAAAGGAGGGACGGGGGGAAAAAAGCATAAAAGAAGGCAGGTTCTCTATTCCTTGGAGAAAAGTGTGTGCAGGAAGCACTATAAACACGCCCAAGAAGCAGAGTAGAGGCAGGGACCTCTCCAGGCAGAATTGTGTGTGAAAGGCAGAGAATCCACGGCGGAGCCCTCCACGACGGTGTTAACGTAAAGGCCTGAGCCGGTAACTTGAGAGACGAAGATGACGAAGACGGGACAGGTCGCTGCAAACACAAGCCCCAGCCAAGGCCCTCCCAGCGCTTGGCCCAGCGTTTCCTGCCCCTTCCCCAAGATGCCGGCCACTCCCGCTCATGTTCCGTAGACTCCTACCCCAGCCCATGACTATGGATGTGGCCCGTCCCTCAGCACAGAATCGTCCTCTCCCCAGGACTCCCTGCCAGAAATTACATTTGTCTTTCAAAGCTCAACTCAGATCCATAGTAACTAACATGTACTAACCCTGTGCCATGGCCCAGACACAGTCATGCCCTTACTCCCCTTTTACAGACCAGGAAAGAGTCACAGGAAGGCTATTTGTCTGGGGACACGTGGCTGTTAAGTGACAAAGCCATGACTGGAGCCTGACTCTGGAATCTGTGTTCCCAGCCATCACCGGTCACCTCCTCGCCTCGGTAACCCCCTTCCCAGCTTTCCAAGATCTCTTGTTGTATTCCCAGAGCAATCTGTTACTTGGTCAATCTCTCCCACTAGATTAGACTCCGAGCTCTCTAAGAGCAAAAGCCAGACTAGAGTCAACAATAAATCAGGGTACACTTTAACTATTGCTGGAATGTTCCCAGCGCAAGGAAAAGATAAATGCTCGAGGTGACAGATACCCGTTACCCTGATTTCACTCAGATACGTTGCATACCTGTATCAAACATCACACGTGCCCTGTAAGTATACACACCCATTATGTACCCGTGATAATAAAAAATGTAAACTTAAGAAGAAAAAAAGAGCAGAAGCCATATTATTGCCGTAACGCCTATCCTTCTCACCTAGGGCAGCGTTTGGGCTACACGCGGGCTGCATTTATTTCTTACCTATCCTAGTACTCAATATACACCAGGCACGACTCAAGTACCAGGGACACAGCTCTGAACAAGACAGAGATGGTCCCTGTCCTTAAAAACTTGCAATCTAGCAAGCACGGCATGCAGTTAATTGGGTAACTATAAGAAAGGTGATAAACCACAATGATAGGAAAGAAGCAGATGGGGCTACTCGGTAGAGAAACCCCCAGCCGAGATGAGAGGTCAGGGAAGGGGCGATGCTTCAGCAGAGGCCTAAAGGATGATCGGAGGTTCATCAAGCAAAGGGAAAAAGGAAGGTCGCGCCAGGCTGAGTGAGCAGCGGTTTCAAAGAACCGCAGGCGATGGGAGAACCTGGAATGTCTGTGAGACTGTAGTTCAGTGCGACTGCAGGGAAGTCGGAGGGGAGCGAGGCAGAGACGTGGCTGGGGCAGTCGTGGGCCGGGCCGCGGACGAGTGTGTCCGTTGCTCCTGGAGCAGCTGTCACGTAACAGCGGCATTCTGGGTACCGTTTCAGCCTAAAAAGCCCAATTCCACCTCTGATATCCGCTGCTCCACCTCTGTGATGGTATTTCTGGGGGAACCAGGCGATTCAGGTGGGAGGGAGGCTCTGTATTCCTATGATTGTGCTCAGAGCTCCCTAAGAGGAGATTCCATCTCCACCCTCCTAGGAGGCGGAGGTAAAAGATGCTGCTGAGACCCCACGGAAGAGGACCCAAGGGCCTGCACGGGAAGTCCAGACACTGGACAGCTCTTCCCGTGAGGACACACCCTGGCCGCTGGGCACCAAAGCTACCGTTCACACATAAAGGTCAGATCCTGACGCCCCGGCAGGCTCCCGTGAACCTAGGGGAAAGGAAGGAGCAAGTCCAGCAAGCCACCCTGCGATTGCAGCCAACCACCAACCTTCTCAGATGCGGCCTCGAGCGATTTCAGATTGTTAGTGACATTCCTGAGCTCTTCCTCCAGGTCACCGCATTTTCTGCACAAAGACAAAGGATTGTTTGTGTCTTATCTCCCTTTACAGCACACGATCCCCCTGAAAGTTTTCAAAAGGAGAAACCTACGCTTCCCCGGGGGTGGGGGGGCCCCCAGAAGGAATGTGGGGAAAAATGTTAATGGATTTTTCTGAGATGCGAGGCTGTGTACTTCTCAACACCCTGTCATACCAGGCAGAGGCGAGGCAGGCTGAGGAGCGTTTGGAGGCGCGTTTGAGGGCGGTAAAGCACCCTGGGCTTCCGCCAAGGGTGAGGCAACAGGGACTTGTGAAATCTGTGATTGATGAGGCGGCCCTGGAAGGTGTAGGAATGAGACGGAGGGCAGGGGGCTGGGAGACCGCAATCGGAGTTTATACCGGATGTTCCAGCAAGCCGGCCCGGAGTGGGTCTGTGAAACCAGAGCTCTCAGCACCGCGGGATGCTCAGCGGAGCTGGATCCCTCGTCTCCAAGACCAAGATGAGAGGCGTTTTGTGTTTTAGGAGTTTACAGGATCCCGGTCAAGCCTCTCACCCTCCCCCGAGGAATGAGTCACGGCCAGACACTGGCACCAGGAACCAGGCATTCGAACACCGCTGGGCGGCCCGCCTTCGTTGGTCAGTGCCCTGTTAAGCAGGCACAGCCTCCTGTGATCCCCACCCCGGGAAACGGGACTTCTGGCTTCTCTGCGGCCACCTGCCTCACTCCTACCTCCCAGTATCTTTGTGGGGACAGTCAACACGTGGGCAATGATTCCCAGAGCAGTAACAACAAACAGTTGCCACTGTCAGCAGTGAAAACAAAAAGGAGGGAAGAGCCACGAGTCCCAGACATCCCGGTCGGCGCTAATTCCCAACACGACCAACTCCCGCCCGCCGTGCTCTGGGAGCCGAGCGGGCCCGCTCTGTCCCGTCCTGCCACTCACAGCTCAGACACCTCCGCACGCTCCTCCGCCCTTTCCAGCTCGCCTTCCAAGATGACCAACTTACGAGCTACCTGCAGAGACAGAAAGGCCCAACTGAGACTGTTCCCCACGATGCGCGGTGCAGACAGCCCCGCCCCACCACACCCCGCCATGCCCCTCTGCAGTGTGGGTCTTTCTGCTGGTTTTTCAGCTCGAGTAGTCCTGGGGCCTGGAGGGAATCCTAATTCTCTTCCTCAGGCCCCAGGAGTGAGGCAGACAAGGAGCAGGAAGAGCTGAGTCACAAAAGCGGGCAAAAGAGGGACCGAGTTTTTATGCTTCGAGGATGCACAGCTGGAGGCCATGATCCTCAATGTTTCGCCAAACTGTGCCAAAACACTCAGGTGAAGGACAAAGGGGAGTGGATCGGTTGGTTTTCCCACCAAGTGACAAGTGTCCCCAGGACTCTGGTGAGGCGGAAGATACAGTTTCCCAGCCAAGCGCTGTCTCTGCAGAAACAGATGTGCACGCAGAAGCCGGGGACCTAACCCAGGGCTTCCTTTGGGCGGCCCCGGCATCCTCCCTATCGGCAGATCCATTTCCGCCCACTTCCCGCCGCTGCCACCCGCCAGTGCACTCACCTCCTCGTACTTGCGGTCGGCCTCTTCAGCGATGTGCTTGGCCTCTTTGAGCTGCATTTCCTGGATCTCCATCTTCTCCTCGTCTTTCATGGCCCGGTTTTCTATCACCTTCATTCCCCTGCAAGGAGCAGCCTCGCCGTCACCACCGTCCACACCACGCCCCACCCGCCTCTCACCTAAAGGCATCTCCGAATCTACCATCCTGCGAAGAGGAAAACCCTGCGGGCCCTGCCGTCACCAAGCTCACTGCGATGTCATCTTTTTTTTTGAGACAGAGCCTCACTCTGTTGCCCAGGGTAGAGTGCCGTGGCGTCAGCCTAGCTCACAGCAACCTCCAACTCCTGGGCTCAAGCGATCCTCCTGCCTCAGCCTCCCGAGTAGCTGGGACTACAGGCGCCACCACGCCCGGTTAATTTTTTTTTTTTATTTTTTTTTTTTTTTTTTAGTAGAGACTTGGTCTCCTCTTGCTCAGGCTGGTCTCAAACTCCTGACCTCAAGCGATCCTCCCGCCTCGGCCTCCCAGAGTGCTGGGATTACAGGCGTGAGCCGCCACACCCAGCCAAGTTCATCTTTACCGATCGCCAGGCACTGTTCTAAGTGCCTTAACCTTCACAATTGCCCTATGAAGTAGGTACATTATCCCCATTTTACAGATGGAGAAACTGAGTCACAGAGAGAAGGTAAGTAACTTGCTGAAGGTTACAGAGCTGGGACTCACACCCTGGCGGTCTGGCTCCAGAGTCTGTTGCCCCCCTTCCATGCTCCTCTCAGTAACTCGTAACAAGGCGTACTTGTAAGCCAGCAGTTGCCACGACGTGACTCGAGGTCTGTGGCAGCTGGCTGTGGACATGTCCAGGAGCAGCGGGGTTGGAGGGTGGGTCACAAAAGGCTTTCCAGAGGAGGTGACATTTATGCCAGGCATCCAAGGGTAGCAAAAGTGTCCAACAAGGAGGGTAAGGGTATTTTGTGGGGAGGGAGAACCACACATCTGGGGACTGGCAGGGGATTCAGAGCTCAGGGTGGCTGGGACATGGGCTGGGTGCTGAGGGTTTCATGCCGGGGGGAAGGACCTGCGGGAGGGTTTCAAAAACAGGAGTGAGTAGAAACCGGCGTGGTGGACGGACCGCATGGGCAGACTAGGTGAGAGGCAGGTTCCAACAAGGCGGGGGGTGAGGAGGGCCTGAACTAAAGTGGAAACATCCAATCTGGAAAGGACAGTGTCCTGGGGACAGCTGGACGCCTGCTACGAGTCAGCTGGCCGACCGTGAAATGTGTCATAGTCGCCCTGGCCGGCCCTGCTTGGAATGGACGAGGTGAGATCAGAGACCTCCAGAGAGGCCAACCTGGGGCAACGTGGCGTCGATGTGTGTCGCTCCCGCCCAGAGTGCAGGACTGTGTGCTTCCTGCTGTCCAGGACACACTTGCGTGTGGGCTGTCACTCCCATCCTCAGCTAACCCTCCGCACCCGTGCCAGGCCTCGCTCCTCAGCACGCGAGCATGTCCGCTGGGATGTTTATTGTTGGAAAACCCTTCGTAGCGCTCAAAGAGTCCAAAGCAACGTGCCCAAGGCCGCGTAGTTGGTGGCAGTGGAAGGGCTCGAGTCTAGATCGTCCAGCTCCAAGTGTGGAATTCTTTCTGCCGAAACACGGCAGCCTCCAACAGGGTGTCCCCAGAGGCCTCTGGTGACATGATGCGAACAAGCTATCGGCCTTCCCAGGCTCTCTTGCTTTGCCATCAGGGAGGCCCCTGAAGTGAGCGCCCGCCAGGCTGGGAACGTGGGCAGCAGTGATCCAGGCCCCAGGCACCGCCCTGAGCCCCTCATGACGGGCCCCTTCACACGTCCCCATGGCCAGCCCGGGCTGCCACCCTCGCCCTCTGTCCAGCGGCTGAAGCCGAGCCTGCGGTGGGGTCTGTTCCCTCCGCCCCGCTGTTCCACTACATAGGAAGAAATTCCCAACTCGGGCAACACGCAGTCTCTGAGATTCCCTAGCTGGTTTCTAATCTCTGGTTAACGGTCACAACAGCACAGGGAGAAAGGAACCCTTTGGAGCAGTTTAAACTGGAAAAGCACGGCGGATTCTCACGGGCGAAGCGAGAGCCCCGGCGTGACGGCGTGGCAGGTACGCCACGACCGCTGGCCCGGCCCACATCACTGCCGCACAAGGAAGCCATTTACCCCCACACAGAGGCCGCCGCGTCTGTGGGTCACACAATCTGCCCTCAGTCTTCCCGAGCCTGTGCCAAGGCGTGCCCGAGAATGATCCCGCTCCCGGGGGCAGAGCGCTCTGCTGGAGGCCTGAACACACTGCAAACGCCGCGGGGGTGGGGAGCACCGTCCACTGCAAGGACATTAACAGTGCTGGTTTGCACATGTCCCTGAAACGCAGCTGTCACCATCCAAGAGGCAAAAGCCCGCCTGACAGCAGTGCCAACCGCACGTACGCAGACAGCCCATCCCAACTTCTCACTTCCCTTTCTCACATCACCCCGAAACTCGATGTCTTCGGAACACCAATGAGAAGCCCTGCGGCTTTCAGAGAAAATGCAAGAAGCAGCACTTTGCAAACTGACCGCCACGGACAGTCACATTTGCGGTCTTGCGTCCACCCATTTTTTTGGCCTTTCTCTGCCTGTTGGAAGTTTTCCTTTATGGCCACCATAAGGACAAACATCGTACACGCGGCGTGACGGTTTATAAAGCATTTGCTCGCAGACACGCGCGTGTCCACATGGTCCTGTCCGCTCTCGCTCCAGCTCTGGGAAGTCAGTGGCACGATCCCCATTTTCCTGGCGCCGCCAGGTTAGAAGCGTCCTTACCTCTCGCTCTCATCCGCAGCCTTTTCCGCTTCCTCCAACTTCTGCAGGGCTGTGGCCAGCCGTTCCTGAGCCCTGTCCAACTCCTCCTCCACGAGCTGGATGCGCCGATTCAGAGCCGCCACGTCACCTTCAGCCTGGGGAGGTCAGGGGTGCAGCCGGGTTAAGAAGTATCGGGCCAGCCACCAGCGGGAACCTGCTCTGCACCCCTCCCTCAGCTAACCCGATTCCCCGCCGAAGCCCACCCAGGAATCCGGGCCATCGGCAATTCACCCTCTCTCGTCTGGAGAATGTAAAATTTCAGTATGATCTTCCCTGAGAACGTCAGGGAACATCCACCACTCAACGACGACAGCTGAGTGTCCGACAGCTGAGTGTCCCAGTCACGTCAACACAGAAGAGGGACAAGTACACTGCGTGCTCCAAGGCGACAGTGCTGGTCTCTCCAGCAGCTCATAACAGACCCAATGTTAGGATAACATGTAATGTAGCCTCTCTCTTGAAAAAGACACACAGCGCTACCACGGAGAGTGTTCTGGGGCCCACTGCCGGGTTCCTAGAGAGTCATCAGTGGTCTAGCTCCTCCTGTCCCAAAAGATCTGCTCCCTCTCATCTGAATGGCAAGATAAATGCAAGAAGATAGAAGCCTCAGTTAAATGGTGACCATTTAATTAGCAAGGGGGGCGGAGGAGGCAGCCTAGGCAGAACACCATCCTTAGCTACGCCTGGCTGAGAGGTGATGGGACAAAACGGTATGAGAAAGGAAAGAAAACTTGGTTACAGGCATGGAAGAGATATCTGAAGAGCGCTATGGGCTTTTCAAGGTGTTTTCACCTACAGGGAAGGAAGTACGGTGGAGTGCATAAGAACAGGAACTCCGGGGTCAAAAAGTGCCTGGCCAGAATCCCGACCTTGGCCGGGCGTGGTGGCTCAGGCCTGTAATCCTAGCACTCTGGGAGGCTGAGGCAGGAGGATCGCTTGAGCTCAGGAGTTCGAGACCAGCCTGAGCAAGAGCAAGACCCTGTCTCTACTAAAAATAGAAAGAAATTAGATGGACAACTAAAAATATATAGGAAAAATTAGCCGGGCATTGGTGGCACATGCCTATAGTCCCAGCTACTCAAGAGGAGGCAGGAGGATCGCTTGAGCCCAGGAGTTCAAGGTTGCAGTGAGCTGTGAGGAGGCCACTCTACTCCAGCCCGGGCGACAGAACAAGACTCTGTCTCAAAAGAAAAGAAAAGAAAAAGAATCCCGGCTTTGCCAATTTATAGCCATGTGGAGTTGGCTTCACTTCTCTATCCCAAAGCCTGGTGACTTGCTGCTGTGAGCTGTAACCCAAGGGCGTGGCATTGCTTGCCCCTGGCAAGAAGGGCAGCTCTTCCTGCCACGGTTTCACCTCATTTAATCCTCATACCTCTCGCCCATTTTACAGATGGGGAAACCGAGGGGCCCCGCTAGGTGAAGCAGTTTTGCTCAGGGACTCAGTAAGGAGTTGCCTTTTGAGTCCCAATCCAGAGCTCTTCTGCTTCTGAACCTATCCCCAGAGTCCTACAGGGGCTTCAAGGCCAGGCGAGTTACCCAGGGACGCCCACCCCTAGGGAGAAATATTGGAGTTGGCCAAATAGGCTGCACCGAAGGTTGAAGGTGCAGATGAAGCTACAGTAGCGGCTTCCTATCAGGACAAATGAGGAATCTCTGAATTGGGGAAGGCTATAAACGTTAATGGGACCCCGCTGCCTCCCCTGCCCCCTGGGTTAATACAGCAAAAAAAAAAAAGGAAAAGAAGACCCCGAAAGGTTTTTCTGATTGCAGTGTCCTCTGAAACACCAACGCGGAGAATCCTTTAAAACCACTGGTGAACTGTCTTAAGAAATGTCCCCACCCAGTCCTTCCAATGAGTGGGTCCTTTTTCGTCCTTTTCAACTGCATAAATCCTAACTCCGCCTAACACCACCGGCAAGTGGGGCAGGAACTGCTGTTTATTTCCCCCTCAACAGTGTTTAGTACAGCTACAAAATTCTGCAACCGACACCACTAATTCCAGAACATTTTCGTCACCCCAAAAAGCCACATATTCGTTAGCAGTCAAGGAAGTGATTTTTAAGATCATACCGAGGTGCTTGATTCATGAGTCTTAAAAAAAAGAAAGGTGGGTAGGCCGTATGCAGGAAATTCTGAATCCTGGCAACCACGCTTTTGGCAGATTGTCAGCCGTCTGGAACCGAAAGAGCTCTGAGATACACACGCATATGTGCGTACCTACAATATATATGTATTTTTGAAAAACTGCTAGTCACTGCTAGTCATCTTGGGCTCCACCCCTTCCTGCAATCAAAGCCTTCCACACTCTACAAAGGATTTCCCTTATAAGGAAAAAGAGGCTTGCTGGATACATGTGGCAAAGGAACAGGAAGATGTCTGTTAATCGCACAAAAATCTAAACGAAACCAGCTGTCGGGAGGCAGGCCCAGAAGTCTGCCACACGCCGGGCTCTTGGTTTATTCCACAAGAGACCAGAGAGGTTTTTTTTTTCTTGGTCTCCCGGTTTCAGTTCCTATGCCCTGCAACCATCTCTGGCTTTCTCTCTTCTGACCGAGAGAAGCATGCGTTGTAAAGTGAACTTTTTAAGAAGTCTTAAACTTTCCAAAAACAGCTTCCCTCCCAACTGGACCGTCCCAGTCCCAAGTCTTGGCTCGCGGCTGAGGGCCATTTTGAAGCAGAAGTAATTGTCCTCCAGCGAGATGATTTGGGATGAGATCAGAGGGAGAGGGGGGAGTACTGCAGGTTGCATGTGTGAAAGAGGCCAGACCAGCTACTGTTGGAGGCTCACACCGGGTTTCTGACGCCTCTTCCTGCCAGAGGAGACCTTACGCAGGATTAGCCGCTCCAACCCGGGCCAGCGCTGAAGCAGCCTAGGGAAGAGGGGGCAGCGGCAGTCTGGGCTCTTCCCAGCCTCTGGTGCACACCCCGACTCCATCTGACCCCGCATCTTCTGCACCTCGGGGGTCCCCACCTTGAGCCCAGGCACTCAGCTTTCACAGGCCCTGAGCTTCGACCCCACCTCCCCGCAAACACAACTTTCTCGCTCCTGACTCTGCTCACCCAGGTCTCTTGTCCCAGCGGCACTTACTCTACAAGACCCTGCACAACCTCCATTTTAAAGCCTGCCCTGTCCCCAGCTGCTTGGCGGCCTCTCTCTGTCACAAAACAGAGCACAAAAAACTCCTGGAACGCCAACCACACTTCATCAACCTCATTTGTCTGCCCGCCCCTCGCCGTGCCTCCATTAGACTGTGAGCTCTTCCCAGGATAGAGGGAGGGAAGAAAAACCACGAACTGAGCACCTACTATGTGCCAGGCTCCACGCTGGGAGATTCTACTCCTGGGACCCTCCCAGCTACCCCAGGGGTCGGCATTATTATCACCTCCTTTACAGATGGGGAAACCCACCCCCAGAGATGAAGTACCCAGTCATACAGCTGGTAAGTGGTATGAGATGGGATTAGAATCCAGATCCGTGCCCAGCCCCAGGCGCTGCCACCATCTGTCCCCAGAGACAGAGGATGGCAAGGGGGTGGTGAGCCCCCCCCTTTCAGACCTCTGTCTATCTCAGGCACACAGTAGGCGCTCAAACGATCGTGGGTCTAGAGCCCCGTGCGGACGTTCCAGGGGCCCTCTGGACGCAGACGGGGGTCCCGCGGCCCTAGTTCCCGCTGGGACCAGCTGGGGAGAGAAAGGCAGGCGGCTCCGGGCTGAACTTCCGCCGCCCCCCCCAAGCCTGGAGCAGACACGTCGCCGCCGCGCCCCCGGGACCGGTTGGGAAAGTTCAGCCAGAGCCGAGAAGCCGCGAAAGAGGCGAGAAAGCGCGACGCCCCCGCCTACCCCCAACCCCACCGCCGAGACCCGTGTGGGCCGGTCAGCCCCAGACAATGGAAGCTCAGCGTCCCCATCCTCACTCCCGCCTCCAGGCCCAGGGGCGGCCGGGTCCCCCCAGCCCGGGATCCCGGCGCCAGTCCCCAGTCGGAGCCCGCGCGGTGCGCCCCCTCCCGCCTCTCCACCCGGGATCGCGGCCCCCCGGGCCCCATCCCCCCATTTCCCGCTCGGCCGGCCCCGCCCGCGCCAGGCCCGGGAGGGACGATGGCAGCGGAGAAAGGGGTGCGGGGTGCGGGTCCGCGCTCCGGGCGCGGCCGGGCGGGAGCGCGCGCAGGCGGGCGCGGATGGGGCGGCGGCGGCTGGCGGGAGGGGAGCGCGGGAAGCTGGCGGCGCCCGGAGAGGGGAAGAAAGGAGGGCGCGGAGCCGGGGCCCAGGGGTGCGGGCGCCTGGCCGGGGGTGCAGGCCGGGGCCGGGGG